AGTTATACCTGATGTAAATGACGAGTTGATGGGTGCTGACGAGTTGATGGGTGCAGCCCAACATGGCACAAGTATACATATGTAACAAACCTGCACGTTACGCACATGTACCCTAGAACTTAAAGTATAATAATAAAGAAAAAAAAAGGGGGTTTCACAGATAACTAAGTTGGCATTTGGACCCAGGTCTCTCTGTAACTGAAATGTTCACTACAATGACCACCACGCCCACTCAACCACTGGTCCTCCACTGAGATCACTGGCCACATCCCCTGCCCTTCATCCAGCATGCCAACCACACAGAAGGATTTAAACACCAGATTTGTCCTCAGTACACTGCTGTTGTTAAATCAACCAAAGTCAGACTGAGAACCCTTTTGACAAAGCCTGTGTGTGTGTGTGTGTGTGTGTGTGTGTGTGTGTGTGTGTGTGACAGAGAGACAGAGGGGGGTGAGGGTTAGAGTTTTATTCTCAGTAGGAAGGCATGAGAAGTTTAAAAAAAAATCCTTCTTTTTCAAGTATACTTCATTTAATGCAAAGATTCAAAGTAAGATTCCACAAAATAACCCTTTAGATCGAAATGGATTTAAACGCAATGAATATCAAGAAGTGGTCCCTCCTGACAAATGCAGAAAACCATGCTATCATCCAGACAACTTAAGCAGAACTGGCTCAATCTGTAACATTTTTGCAAAACCAGGGATTTTGTTAGTATGTGAAAAATAAATCTCGGGACCCCAAAATCACTAAGCCAAAGGGAAAAGTCAAGCTGGGAACCGTGTCAGGCAAACTTGCCTCCTATTTTATTCCTAAGATAGCTTATCTTTACAGGTGTGGGACAGAAAGTCCTCCTTCTGCTCACCCGAGACAAGTGTTTATCTGATTGCTTCCTCTGCCCCATTGTTCATCTAAAAATGCAGACTCACTGAGCCAGACTAAGGCATAAATGACTATTCCTGTACTTGCCTCTCACAAGTAAGTTGTGTGTTCAGTGAAAGGCTGATCAAAGACTCAAAAGGATGCAACCATTTGTCTCTGATCTAACTATAACCTGCTTTCCCCACTTTCTTTTTTTTTTCTTTTTTTTTTTTGAGACGGAGTCTGGCTCTGTCGTCCAGGCTGGAGTGCAGTGGCCGGATCTCAGCTCATTGCAAGCTCCGCCTCCCGGGTTCACGCCATTCTCCTGCCTCAGCCTCCCGAGTAGCTGGGACTACAGGCACATGGCCACCTCACCCGGCTAGTTTTTTGTATTTTTTAGTAGAGACGGGGTTTCACCGTGTTAGCCAGGATGGTTTCGATCTCCTGACCTCGTGATTCGCCCGTCTCGGCCTCCCAAAGTGCTGGGATTACAGGCTTGAACCACCGTGCCCAGCTAACAATGTACTTCTTACACATGGTGACTGATATCTCAAGTCTCCCTAAAATGTGTAAGAGCAAGCTGTGCCCCGACCACCTTGGGCACATGTCCTCAGGACCTCCTGAGGCTGTGTCACCGGCGTGTCCTTAAACTTGGCAAACTAAACTTTCTAAATTGAGACCTATCTCAGATATTTTGGGTTCAAAACATAATTATTTCAATTATTTGCTATACTTGACAATATAAACCAGTCTTTCTTTTCTGATCTAGGTGGCAACACAGGAGGGCAAATTGTAATAATCTTGGCAGTCAAAATCGATCATTCAGTGACTCTACCTTGGTTTCAATTTCCATCTGCTGCCATTGTAGCTCTGAAGCAAACAAATGGAGATGCTACAACAGTATCTGAAAAACCAAAGTTATGGTACTTACCACATTAAAGTTGCTATCAGAAGACCAACGCCTACACAATCTATGAATACAACCCAAAGGAGAAGCTTTATTGTCTCAAAGAATCCCATGTCCAGCACAAAGCCAAATCCTATAGTGGACACTGAAAGAAAGATTCACAAGATTCATTTAGGGACTTGGCTAGGTTCTGGAAATACAGAACACATCCCTTGCCCTCCAGATGCCCAGGCTAGTGGGAGAGACAGGTCTGTACACAAAACTCCCAAGATGTGTGAACACCACCTTGGAACAAAGCGTGGCCACTGAGAGAGTTGCAAGTTTCCTGAGGTGGGCCCCTGCCAGGCTGATTCACCACGGTGGCCTAGTCTAAAGAACGCCAGTCTAGAGAAGGCACTAACATACCTTAAGTCCAGTTAAGGTGCAAAACACCCTGTAAACTTCAATATCTTACCCACCTCAACACCCTACAGGTAAACGAGACCCTTGCATTATGGAATTGGAGAACTTCAGTTTCTCAGGTTCACATCAATACTTTTACAATTCTCACTCTGGATTTGCCTGACTGAAATGCAATTTCCAGTTTCATATTCCTTTTCACAGTCAGCTGCATACTGGTTCACAGTAGTTGAAAAGATATGGAGTGAATTTTGTCCCCTGCTTTTCAACGTCCTAGGGTAACAGTTTACTCTGGCATCTGCTTGGGACCTGTAGAACCAAGACTACAATTTTCTTTCCTGCGAGATTTTTGAGGCTTCAGTAAAAAGGAGAAATAGTTTCCAGTATTTCCAGATTCTGACCCACAACACATTTATAACAAATAAAAAGTCTAATCAGAAACGCTAAGCGTTCAATTCTGTCTCAGACAAACACACTTACCACAGAGCCAGATACTTAACAGGACCAAGAAAGCAGGGTCATCTCTGGCCCACTGGTCCTTCGTCTGTTTTCGATAATGAAAATTTCTGTAAACTCTCTGTGGGGATGTGAACAGGTAGAGCATCTGCCAGGCAGCAAATTCAAAGTCCATCTGCCGAAAGCGGAAAAGCCTTCTCAGATACTTGTAGCGTTTCGCTCCGGCTGTGTGTCTTGCTGCATCCCTGGAATTCAAGACTCCGTTCCCCTGCATTGAGGAATTCACTGAAGTACTCGGTAACATCTTCCTAGATGGAAGAAAAACATTTCTTTTACACGTATGCTGAAGAAACTTTTGGCTACGGGCACCCTTCTTCTGAGTTACTTGGCAGGGAGGTCACTTTCCATGTTCTTCCCAACCCTAGAGAAAGGCCAGGAGTCAAAAGCAAATGCAGTTGGTTCTGAGGCGGGGCTTGGGGCTTGGGAAGCGCAGCCTGCAACCTCAGGCAAGGGCAACAGCTCACCCTTCTCAATCACCTAATAACACATATCCAGGGGCAGCTACCATTACAGAGACGGGGATGATGTGACAGCCCCATGACGCCGAGAAGAGTGATAGAGCCAAGATTCCAAATCTGACTCGAAATTCCGTGCTCTTAACCACCAAGCTTTTAAGAAAATGCCTAAGAAAGCAATGTTTCAGCCGGTTAGAACAGTGTTACCGAAAAGGTAAAACAAATGGCCTATTCACATAGATCCATCAGCGCACTGCCAGCAAGCTCCCCGGTCACCAGAATGAGATTAAAAACCAAGCAAAACTCCGATCCCTAGTGTTTTACATCCGGAATAGGTCAGCAGAGGGAGCGGTAGCGTCGGAGTCCAGTCCAACCGGTCCGAGCTCCGGGGAGCGCCGGCCACTGCCCGGCTGCCCGTCTCCCCTCCACTTTGCAGGCCCCCGGGACGCCGGCAGCGCCTGACCGGGCCCAGCTGCTCCCTCCCTGCCCGGGGCCGCGGATACGGCCGCCAGGTTTAGCAAATAAAAAGAGAATGCCCAGCTCCGTGTGGATTTCAGACAGGCCACGAATAAGGTTTTAGTACGCCTACATCCCACGCAACATTTCGGACATGCTAATACTAAATGCTCTTTATCTAAGATGCAAAGGTAACTGGGCGTCCTTTCATTTTATCCGCAACTCTATCGCCGGCCGAGGGGCCGGACGCCGACATGGTCACTGTCAGGCCGCAGTGATATCAGGTCGCAAGCTGTCGGGATTAAATGGCCCCCGGCGCGAACCCGGGCTGCCGGAGGACAGAGCGGTCCTCAGGCCTCACCTGGAATCCTGCTACAGCCTCGACCCGCGTCCGAACCAGCCCACCACCTCCTCCCAGCAGCCGAGCCCAGCCGCCACAGGGCGGGCTTCCCTTCCCGCAACGCAGCCGGCGCTTCCGGCGTGCCTCGTCACGCGCACCCACTTCCGTCGCGCACGCGCCACCTCTCGGCCCCCGTAGTCCTCGGCCCGACCGCCGCGGCCCGCCGGAAGTTATTGCCGCTGGCTTCCGGCCCGCTGAGACTGGGATCTCGCTTGCTCCCGATCCGGTCGCCACCGTTGCAGTGGAAGAAAGTAGAGTGCGCAGCGGACGGGAAGCGCCGTCATGCCCAAGTATTACGAGGACAAGCCGGAGGGCGGCGCGTGCGCGGGCCTGAAGGAGGACCTGGGCGAGTGTCTGCTGCAGTCGGACTGTGTGGTCCAGGTAGCGCGGCCGGGCGCTCCCGGTGGTGACGACGCCTGCCCCGGGGAGGCCCGGCTCGGCGGAGGGCAGCGGGTCGCCCGCGGCGGCGGTTGGAGTTAACCATCCCGGGCGGAGGTCACAGCTCGGGCTCACTGAACGTGCGCAGATCCGCTGAGCTAGTTCCCTGTGGGGTTAAATCGGAGATACCGATAAACCCACCCTGTCGGGTTTTTGCAAAGATTAACCCATTTCAGTTCACGAAGCGTGTATTGCATGCTAGCACTCTGCCGGGGTTCTGGAGACATAAAGGAGAATAAGCCAGGTTTCTTGCCTGCCTAGAAATGATGATCTGCAGAATTAATGATTCCAGAGAGTTGCGTAAACCTGGTACACTGCCCTGGCCAGTCGTGTCCCCTGCCCGTTCAGTTGTGACTGAATGTGTGCTCAGTTTGCCTTGTGTTGATATGAATTTGTTTCTAAGTTACAGTTCTCTGCATTCTTGGATGTTAAGTTGTAAAAATAAAGCAACTCCATATTTTCACGATTTGGTATCTTGCTTCCCCTACGCTCTTACTTCACTCCCCTACTACAGACACAGGTCTCCTCAGCACCCTCTCGGAATGCACTGAGGCATGTAGTGAGGTTCAGAGTGGACCTGGGTTCTGGTTTCAGAGCTCAAATAAACCACAAGTGCCTTTTCCAATTACAGAGGCCCGACCAGAGGGCATTCAATTGTGTGCGGTTATCTTTGCATTGGGAGATGTAGTTCCAGAAAGTTGCTGTTATTTCAGAGAAAAGATTACCCCCAAATGGACATCCACTATAGGGCCGTATTAGTGTTTCTGCCGAGTCACAATTTTATGTTTGGTTCACTGATTTTAGCAGTCGGCCATTCTCGCCTCCCAAGGTCTAGTAAAACTTGAGTTATTATAAATGTAAGAGATTATGTCGCTCAACTTCCTTATATAAATGAGGAAACTGAGGTACTGCTGTTTTCAGGCTCCCCTGTCCGGGGCTGTGTCCCCTCTGCCCCTTATTCACTGGTGCTGCCATTCAGCCAGCTCCTGGTAAATGCCTCTTAAGTGGCAGGCATGGTGCCTGACACTGGTGATAACGAAGATGAATCAGTTGCAGTCACTACCCATGTAAGCTTGGTGTCATGGGAGAAATAGACATAGTCTAAATTCCTGCCATAAGGCTGTAAGCATTTATTAAACATGTGTTTAATGACTAGATCTTGAGGAAAAAAATGCCTTAGCCCAATGGAGAGCATCTGATTTTGCTTCAGGGTTTGGAATCTTCTGAGGTGACATTTGAGCTGAGTCTTAAAAGTTGAATAGCAGTTGATCAAGTAAAGAAGTGGGAACTGTTGTGGTTGTGGGGAAGATCTGAAAGAACAGCAAGTGCAGAGGCAGGGAGACGTGGGAGGGCCCAGAGGAGCTAGCGTCCTGCAATACGGGAATGCGAGAGAAGCCAGGTGTGAAGCCTGCGCGTGTGTCAGAGCGAGGAGACTGGATTTTATCTAGACGTTCAGCACGGAAGGCCACGTTGATTAGTCAAGGGAAGAAAGTCCAAGCGGAGAATAATAGCAGCAGCACAGAGAAGTCCAAGCTGGCTTTCTGCGGCGGTTGATACAGCAAACATGTATGGAGTGCCAGGCTCCGGCTCAGGGAGCAAACACTGATGAATGGGACATGGCCTCTGCAGTGTAGAAAGCGGGGCCGTTTGGCTGGAATGCTGTAGGTAGAGATTGTGGTCGCGACAGCTGGTACAGACTTTGCTTTTCCTGCCATTGAATATGTGGCCTTACCAGTGCTCAGTTTGGTCAGCCAGAAAACGTGATGCTTATAAACAGTTCTTTAGATGGAAGTTCGTTTACAGGTTGCGTTAAATTCATTCTGAATGGTGACTTCAGCTGGAGTGTAAAAGGGCGAAAGTGAGGAGGTTTGCAGGTCCAGAACCATCTCCTACAGTCTGTTGGCGGCTGCTGCCCACCGCTCCTCACTGGGGACCCTGAAAGAGCAAGGAAAGCTCTGCTGAGGTCTTTGCTTGCTCTGTATGGCAGCCTTATTTATGATGGAAATTTCTGATTTCTTAAGTTCTTGAATAAAAAGGTTAATCTGATCTTAGGGCAGGTTGGTGCTGTAGTCTCTTCTTGCCAGTCCACCTGAAACCTGCAGCACCTCACTCTAGGGAGAAATTCAACATAAACATGTATTTAGTTCTAGGAGATTGTCAATCTAGGGAGATTGTCAAGGAGTTAGAGGGCCTCAGAGAAACTCAATGGTAAGGATGTAAATTCCAGTGGGCCTGGAGGGAAGCAGGGAAAAAGCAGATTCAAAAGGCATCTCTTGAAGAGACTTCTTAGGATTTAATGACTCCTGGATGATCAGGACAATGAAATTCTGCCAGAGGAACTTCACTCATCACAGGATGTCTTCTTTGTCTCCACTAAGAGCTTCCAGACCTGCTGACTCTTCATCAGAATCACCTAGAAGTGGTGTGGCTTTTTAAAAGTACAGATTCCACTGCTGCCCTCACCCCACCCCCAATAAGTTAAAAGTTTCTTTCCTAGGTTGGTTCTTGAGCACAGCCATGTTTGAGAGCACTGACTAATCTTGACCTCAGAAGGCAAAAAAGCTTGGGAGTGTATTAGTTAAAATACAGATTCAAGTACATGTTACAGAGACCCAGAATAATAGTGGCTTAAATAAGATAGAGAATTCTCTTTTTTGTTCTTGTGCCTATAATCAGGGCCTGGTAATTTCCCTCAATCTTCCATGGACACAGACACTGTTATTCTTGTGACTCTGTGCTGTGAAAATAGGAAAATATAGGAAATAGGGTGTTGCTCTCATATTCATGGTCCAAGACTGCAATCATCAGGCCCGGCAACCTTATGGAGTGAAGTGAGGAAGGAGGCAAGCCTCTTTAAAGACCAAATCAGAAGTTCTACGCCTGTTTCGCACACATTCCAGTGGCTAGAACTTAGTCACAGGACCACAGCTAAATGCAAGGGTGTCCAGGAGATCCTCACCCAGTCATATGCTGGATAAAAAGGAAGAGCAGACAGCTAGCAGTCTGTTATTTGGGGTGGAGTGGATGATGAATGACTGTCTCTTAGCTTTAGTGTATCTAGATGGATTTTCACCCCGGGCAGTTGGCAATATAGGTTGAAAGCTTTTGAAAAAGGTAGCTTCTTAGATACAGTTTGAAGAGGCATCAGCTTATAAACTATAGTTACAACCTTTTGTATGGTTAGTCTGTTGTCTGCCTCCACATTGTTCATGTGGGCAAGGCATCCCGCCAGCAGAATTGCAGAGTTTGGAGAGGAAGGAAATTTGCGACTCTGATCCACTTTTGAGAGTCACTGGTGTAGATGACATTTGATATCTAGGACCCAGGCAGACATACAGACTGGAAGGTGGCCAGGATCCTGGGGGACAGGAATACCACAGACATACTACCCTGTAGCTTTTCATAGTAAAAACTAGCGGAGTGTGCCTGGCACTTGGAACATAAAGGTTCTGGGGAGTGGCTGCAGTGATGCGGTTGCAGAGTCAAAATCTGCTTGAGGGAAAATCCCTGATTATGCAGAGCATATGAGCTTTGGGTTACATTTTTCCTGGTGCATGAATGGGCCACATTTCTATTTAAGTAGTATTCTAGCCCGCCTCATACACTTTAGCTATGTAAAGTGTTTCGTACTGACACTAAAAATATTCTGATTTTAGGGTACCCAGTTCACACATTTCACCCATAAGGAAATGAAGGTATCCCTTTCTAGATATTAATATAAACAATTTAAGGAAAAGTGTCCCATGGAAACCAGTGTTTTCAAGAATTCAACAGTGTCCTTAAAGTTCCCAAGTTACATTTTTTTTCATTCTTTAGGCACCAACAGCCCAAATAGATTTTTTTTTGTTTGTTTTTTTGAGACAGAATCTCACTCTGTCACCCAGGCTGGAGTGCAGCGGCCAGATCTCAGCTCACTGCAAGCTCCGCCTCCCGGGTTCACGCCATTCTCCTGCCTCAGCCTCCCGAGTAGCTGGGACTACAGGCGCCTGCCACCTCACCTGGCTAGTTTTTTGTATTTTTTAGTAGAGACGGGGTTTCACCGTGTTAGCCAGGATGGTCAAGAACTGTTTCTTACATAACTCTCTATTTTCCTCTTTTAACACTTTAAAAAAGGACTGTTTTCAGGACAAGTATTTTGTACTTTGTGAGAAAATTTCCAAGGTGTTTATATTGTTTTATGTGTCTGTCATAGGAAGGAAAATCCCCTCGGCAGTGTTTGAAGGAAGGACACTGCAGCGCTCTAAAATATGCATTTTTTGAGTGTAGAAGATCAATGGTAAGTGGTTAAAGATTTTTAAAAGCTTATGCTAAAAATTAGCTATATGGAGGTTAAATATATGAATGACTTAATAGTTATAGATGAGTTGCAGTGATACGGTTTGGAAAAAAGGATGTAGATAATAGTTCTTACTCCAGTGGGTTAATGTTAGGTAGCATTCAGGAAAACCCACAGCTCATTTTTATGTTCTTCTGTCACCGTGCTAGCCACAGCTGCTGAACTTCATGCATTTCCGAAAGGGTGAGAATCAAGTCTCAGCAGGTGTATATGGGTAAAAGTTCCTGTTAGCCACTCTCGAGTTCAGCTCGGTTGGCAAGTGTCCACAAACCTCTCGTGTGGAGCTCTAAGCTGTATACACTTGTGCCTTATGTGACTAAGAGAAAATGCCCGTATCTGTGTTTGAATTTTGGAGGGATGGATTGTAGAAATAGGGCCTAAAAAGATATTACAAATCTCTGGGGTTCTTTCTGACTTCCTTTGATTTGGAAGATCTACGGAGATCTTTGGAATGGAAACTGAGACCCTTTTCTTGGAGAAAAGTACAAAACCAGAAATAAGATCATCCCATTAAAGGAAGAAAGCACTTCGACCTGAGGATGCTGGTTTTTTTTTTTTTGAGACAGAGTCTCACTCTGTTGCCCAGGCTGGAGTACAGTGGTGCGACGTTGGCTCACTGCAACCTCTGCCTCCTGGGTTCAAGAGATTCTCCTGCCTCAGCCTCCTGAGTAGCTGGGATTACAGGCGCCTGCCACGATGCCCAGCTAATTTTTGTATTTTTTTTAGTAGAGACGGGATTTCACCGTGTTGGCCAGGCTGGTCTTGAACTCCTGACCTCAGGTGATCTGCTTGCCTTGGCTTCCCAAAGTGCTGGGATCACAGGAGTGAGCCACCGTGCCCAGTCAGTGCCATCTTCATTACTGTGGTTTTTCTTGGTAGTTCTGATGTCATTGCCTTTTTGATTTTGCTAATAACTGGTTTATTTCTCTCATACAGTGATACCCTTACCAAAATAAGGGGTGTTTAATTAATTATATTGTACCAAATTTGATTTAATTGTATATTTATTTTCAGTTGGATAACAGAGCAAGATTCAGAGGAAGAAAAGGATATTGATACATTATGTTGAAACCAAGATGGAAGACAACAGATATTTTCTCTGGTCATTAACACAAATAAGCCAAAACAGGAAACAACTTTTTACTATATCTGTTTGATTGGACCAGATTTCCCCTCCATGGAACACTGACGAAAATGGATGAGTTCTGTTTTTGAATATGTATAAAGTAAATGATTCTCTTGATCCAAGTTATTTTTAGAAGAAAAACCTAATTGAACAGTTATGGGTTGGCAGCATAATAAATGTGTTTTGAGAATTGTTCTAAAGCACAGAGAATGGAAAGACTGTTATTTGCAAACTTGACTGTTCAATCGAATTACACAATTTGTACAGGCCACTGATGTGACTGACAGAGTTGATAACATGGAGCCCATCCAGATGTCTGTTGGGAAAGTTTAGGATGAACTTTTTCTTTATTCAGTCTTTTCCTGTCTAGTTCGAAAATAAATTGTGTTTGATTCCTTAGAGAAGAAATACTTCTTGTGTGCTGTGATTCACTGAAGTAATAACCTCAGCACTTCAACAGAATCCACAGGCGTAGCTGGCGCTCGGCCCCAGATTGTGGTGCCCAGGCTCTTTACCATCATCTTCGGACTGCTTTTGTTTCCTGGTTTCATTTTCAGGCTGGCCCTCTCTACATAATGGGCCAGTGTGAGCTCCAAGCCCACATCCTTACGATCCATGATTCAAAAGGGAGAGAGAGAACTTCCTTTTTCCGGGTTCACAAATCAAATCCTATAAAAGGACTCTGGTCTTCCCAGGATCACCTGCCCTTGCATTGGACCAGTCCCTATGGAAAAGGGGATGGGGGCCTGTGATCTTGGCCAGGCCTGGGCTATCTGCGCTGTCATTGCTGACTCCTGTCAGAATCACATGGATGAGCAGTGAGCTGAATCCCAAAAGGAAAGGGGTTTAGAGCAGGTGGAAACAACAGATGTTCACTATAGAAAGCAAGAATGAAAACCATGAAGTGGTTGAAGATTAGCCTTACAGTAATTTTATTCTGATCACTTAATACAGTAGAGTCAAACAGGAATCCAAGTTTCCAACTTTACTTTTGGCATTGAAGAATCACAAACAACCCTAGCGTCTTTATACCTCCATGGTTCACTGGAGTTGAAGCAATCAGGGTGTTGTACAGCTCACTTGAGTTTGTAAAGGTTCTACTAAAAAGTGAGAATTCCACCCCAGCATGGGTCATTGTTGCAGAATACCACAAAGGTCTGTTGAGTGTACTCCTTTTCACTGCGAAAGGGACAGTCATGGTTTTTTTCACTGTATGCATATTTAAGTGATATAACTTTTTATTAATAAAAGTAAACTCTAAAATGTATATTATAAAGCCCTCTCATCTTTATTAACAGCTTTATTGAGCTTTATTTGGAGAAATACACGTACCATCAGATTCACCCTGAAACTTATCAATTCAGTGGTTTTTATACTGTATCTACAGAGCTACCATCACCACTAATTCCAGAACATTTGCATCACTACAAAGAGCAACCTGTACCCATTAGCAGTCACTTCCCTTCCCCCTCAGCCTCTAAAAGCCACTAATCCACTTTTTATATAACATGTAGCCTTTTGTGACTGGCTTCACTTACCATGTTTTCAAGGCTCATCCCCGTGTAGAATCTATCTGTACTTCATTACCTTTTATTTTTGAATAATACTCCACAGTATAGATGTACCACATTTTATGTATCCATTCATCAGTTGGCACACTTTGGTCTGTTTCCACTTTGGGCTATTATGACTAATGCTGTGAACAAATTTTGCATGAGCATATGTTTCCGTAAGAGCAGAATTACAGGGTCATATAATTCCAACTTTTTTTTTTTTTGAGACAGGGTCTCTGCTGTTGCCCAGAATGCAGTGGCATGATTGCAGCTCACTGCAGTCTCACCCAGGCTCCTCCTAACTCAGCCTCCTGAGTAGCTGGGACCACAGTCACGTGCTATCACGCCTGGCTAATTTTTTTGTATTTTTGTGGAGACAGGGTCTCCCCATGTTGCCCAGGCTGGTCTCAAACTCTTGGCTCAGGTGATCCTCCCACCTCGGCCTCCCAAAGTGCTGGGATTACAGGCGTGGGCCGCTGTTCCTGGCCCAACTTTAACATTTGGTGAACTGCCAAAATTTTTCACAGAAGCTGTAGCATTTTACATTTCCACCAACCATCTTTGAGGGTTCCAATTTCTCCACATCACCAGCAGTTGTAATTCCTGTTTTGATTATAGCCATTCTACTGGGTATGAAGTGCTATCCACTTGAGATTCTGACTTTCATTTCTCTAATGGCTAATGATGTTTGAGCATGTTTTCATGCGCTTATTGGCCATTTGTATGTCTTTGGAGAAACGTCTATTCGAGTCCTTAGTCCAGTTTTCAGTTCAGTTCTTTTTACTGTTTTAACAGTTTTTTGTATGTTGTAGATATGAGTCGCCTAAAGATAAGTGATTCACAGATTCTCCCAATTTGTGGTTTGTCTCCTCACTTTCTTGATGGTATCCTTTGAAGTATAATTTCTAATTTTGGTGAATTACAATTTATTTTTTCTTTTGGTGTATCTAAGAAACCATTGCCTAATCTAAGCTGATGGAAATTTATTCTTTTCATTTAAGAGTTTTACAGTTTTACCTCTTACATGTAAGTCTGTGATTCATTTTAAAAATAATTTTTCAGGCCTTTATTTGCAATCTATTTTTAAAATTTTAATTGTGGTAAAATACATATAAAATTTACTATCTTAACCATTTTTAAGTGTACAGTTCAACAGAGTTGAGTGCATTCACAATTATGCAACCAATCTCCACAACTCCCCTTTCACTCCACCACCCCTCCACCTCTCTACCCTGACAGTCACCATTCCACTTTATGTCTTTATGAACTTTACTACAGTAAGTGCCTCGTGTGGACTCATACCACATTTGTCTTTGACTGGCATATTTCACTTAGTATTATGTCCTCAAGGTTCATCCATGTTGTAGTACATATCAAAATTTCCTTCCTTTTTAAGGCCAAATAATATTCCATTGTACGTACATAGCACATTTTGTTTACTCATCTGTCAGTGGACACTTCGGTTGCTTGTGCCTTTGGGTAACTGTGAATAATGCTGTGTGAATATGGGTATACAGATATCTGAGACCCTGCTTTCAGTTCTTGTGGGTATATACCCACAAGTGGAATTGCTGGAGCACATATTCTATTTTTAAATTTTTTCAGGCTCAGCCGTATTGTTTTCCACAGCAGCCGTAGTAGTCTACAGTAACAGCACACAAGGATTTCAACTTTTCCACATTCTTGCCTATACTTGTTTTTTTTTTTTTATTTTTTTAAACAGTGGCCATCCTAATAGGTGTGAAGTATCTCAATGTGGTTTTAATTTGCATCTCCCTAATGATTAGTGGTGAACATAATTTCATGTACTTCTTGGCCATTTGTATATCTCTTTGGAGAGATGTCTCAAGTCATTTTGAATGGGTTAAATCATTCAAATGGGTTAAATCATTTTCAGTCCCTTAAAATGGTTAAGGTGGTAGATGGGTATTAAAATAGGTTGTTTGCTCTTTTGTTGTTGAGTTGAAGTTCCTTGTATATTCTAGATGTTAACCTCTTATCAGATGCATGATTTGCAAGTATTTTCTCCCATTCTGTAGGCTGCCTTTTCATTTTTTTTTTTTTTTTTAAATGCACAGGGGTTTTGCATTTTGGTGTAGTCTAGTTTATTTTTACTTTTGTTGCCTGTGCTTTTCGTGTCATACCCAAGTCACCGCCGACTCCAATGAAGCTGCTCCCGTGTTTTCTTCTAGGAGTTAAGAGTTTTAGCTTTTAAATTATGTCTTTGATCTATTTTGAATTAACTTTTGTATATGGTGTGAATGTCCAGCTTCATTTTTTTGCCTAAGGATAGCTGGTTTTCCCAACACCATTTGTTGAAAAGATGTTCTTTCCCCATCGAATGGTCTTGGCGTCCTGTGGAAAATCATTTGACCATATATGCCAGGGTTTGTTTCTGGGCATGCTATTCTCTTTTGCACTTCTGTCTGTACGTATTTATGCCAGTGCCACATTATTTTGAATACTGTAGCTCTGTAATAATAAGCTTTGAAATCAAGAAGTATGTGACCTCCAGCTTTGTTCTTTTTCAGGATTGTTTTGGCTACTTAGGATTCCTTGAGATTCGATGTAAATCTTAGGATGGATTTTTCTATTTCCACACACACAAAAAATCAGTTGGGAATTTGATGAGGGGGGGTACATTGCATCTGTAGCTCACTTTTGATAGCACTGTCATCTTAACAATATTAGGTCTTTCAATCCATGTGCACAAGATGTCTTTCCATTTATTGGCGTCCTTAATTTCTTTGCAGCAAAATTTTGTAGTTTCCAGTATACAAGACTTTTGTCTCCTTGGTTGTTTATTCCTGAGAATTTTCTTTGTGATGCTACTGTACATAGAACTGTTTCCTTAATTTCCTTTGGAGATTGTTCAACAATGGTGGGTTTTTAACATTTAATTTTTACTGTTAAACATAACCAGTATACCTAAAAGTGAATAGGATGTTCGTATGTTAAGAACAAAGTAATCTCTCATGTAACTGGCCATCCAGATCAAGATAACATTGCCTGAACCCCCTGTAATTTTAGCCTTTTTTAGAGACCCTCTCACTAGCCCCTTGACCACACTCTGCCATTTGCCTTCTCCTTTGACCTTCTGAATTTGGCTCCTTGGGATGCGTTTAGCATCACTGATTACATAGAGAGAAAAACAGTGTGGTCCAGTGCTGAAATAGGAAAGATTTCAGTTGACCACCACAAAACCACCGTCTGTTCATCTGTTTATTCAACAAACTTTAGCTCCTTCACGGCAGGCATTACACTTGCTCTTGTGAATACAGAGGGGACTGACAGTGGACAGCATATGCATGATACAGTCGTCACAGTCAACACTGAAGGAGAGGAACTTTTTCTGAAAGGGCCAACTTCATTTGTGGGGAGAAATCACCATAGAGGAAGGCAGACCTAAGACCAGCCTTACAGGAGGGGTGAGGATGCTCCGGAGAGGTCCAGATCCGAGGGGATATAGACCAGGCCTGGGGGTGCATGGATGGAAATTATGGGATGGTTCTCAAGAGATACAGGTCTCAGTGGCTGACGGGATGTGGAGGAGAAAATGACCCCAAGGTCATCTATTAGAGGGAGATCAGCCAGCTTGGAGGAGGAGGGGCATGAGCACACTGTGTTTGAGATGACTGTGACACAGGCAAAGTGACAGGCACAGTGCTTGCAAGTATAGGCAATCTGGACCTTGGGGGAGAGTCTGGGATGGACCTAGAAGTTTAGGCGTCACTAGCATATAAGTGACCATTCGTTCAACAGGAATGTGTAAGATTTTTCAGGAAGAGCATCTTCCTGAAAGTTATGGATGGAACCCAGGAGAACACCACGCCATTACTGGCAGGTGGTGGGCGACAGCAAATCTGAGAGTGAGGAGGGACGGTCAGAGACATAGGATCACCAGGAGAGAGTCAGGCCACAGATACCAAGGGAGGGCCGGGTGGTGAGGAGGAGGAAGCAGTGAAGTGCTGTGTCTGTCTCCATCCATCTAACACAGGCATCCTCCTCGGAGCCATGGGGACAGAAGTGTGTTTCCTACTCTGTCTACTCAGCTTTTTCTGTTACGTGGGACAACAGAGTGTGAAAGACCTGCCTGGACTGGCTTGCAAGGCGCATGGGGCCTGGTGCAGGAAGAAGTCATGGCAAAGACACGGGCGCGGTGGAGGGATCTAGAGAGTATGGGCGTTCTGAGGCTGCACCCTGGGAGCCCTGTCACAGCCTGGAGAGCCATAGCTAATAAAAACAAGACCAAGCTACTCTCCGTCTGCCTGCTGTTGGCACAGGATGGGGGTGGAATTGTACGGAGGGCACAGCCTCAGGCCGGAGAAGCCTCCCTGATGTCCCTGGCAGGGGAGGGAGTGCCTGTGCAGGCCACAGCTCACAGATCCACTACACTGCAGAGCACGGTGAAGCCCCCACCAGTTTTCCCCACTTAAAAGTCACCATTTGGCCTCCAGACAAATCGTAGACTGATCCTGGGGCCGATGTCCACTGTGCTGGTTGGTACCCACAGTTAGCGTCAGCGAGGCATCAGGAGGTCAGTGGCGGCCAGGGCCCCTACTGGGAGCAGACAGGCTGCCAAACACAAGTTTCCATCTCTACAACCCAGCTCTCCTCTCTCTGCCAGAGGCTGCGCTGCCTGGTGTTCACAGGAATGAAAGATCTTTTTGGTCAGCATATACCTCTCAGAAAGAGATGCTATTTTGCTTTTTTTTTTTTCTGTCTTCCTGATTTCAAATACTGGATTTTATCCACTGTAAATGTGATTACTTCCTACTTTTGGAAATAACCAGGGCCTCTGAGAAGAGGGCACTTTTGAAAGTGTAAAAACCATCACGGATCCCGATAAGCCAGCTCCGCCCCTCTCCGGAGGCCCTCGTGGGCAGCCGGGGGCCAGGTCAGGCAGCCTGAGCTGTTTTCTGCTGCCCACTCCTCTCCAACCTTCCTTGACCCCCTTGGTTCTGTCATCACTGCCATCCCTGCAGGTTCCATAGGGAGCTTGTGCTTCTGGGCTGGGGTTCCTCCTATGCACAGCACAGCAGTGCCCTCACTACAACTTACGGAAAATCAGCTCTTAAGAGGGGCTTGTACAGGAGAACATTTTGGGGTGCAAGTGACAAGAGAGTTTGTCCATCTCCAAATGCAGAGTTCTGTGAGGGCCTGCCTGCCAGGAGGAAGTGCTGGTCCTAGAAGAGCCATCCCAGGAGCACGATGGGACATGAGGCCAGTTCCTTCTGTCCATGTGTTCCCAACACCCCTACACACAGAACAGCTCTTCTCCCCCAGGCATGAGAAAAGAGAAAGGCTGGCAGCCCTTCGGAGTGACCAGAGATCTGCTGCTCGTTACTACAACACGAGGAGCACTCAGTACTGCTGAGGACACTGTGAGAAGCCTCTGTTCAAAAATGGTGCCAACCTGCGGGGTGATGCTAGTAGAGAACAGAGGGTGGTTACCCAGTAGAACAACATATAACGAGGTAACTTCCCCCCATGGCTAATCATTTCTGTTCTCGGAAAAATCACAGATCGGGAAGCTCCAACCTCCAGCTCCTCTTACCTTCCTCCAGTGCAAAGCCTCCCTGGGACAGCTCCCCTAGATCTGGGCAGCCAGACTGTGCCAAGTCATCTACTAAGCAGAGACTCAACAGGAAACCAAAGCGGGGAATGGCATGGGGAGGGAGGGCAGGAAGCAGCTCACGGTGGCTGATGTCTGGGCGTCCTGACATGTCTTCTCCTTGGCTTAACTTTAAAGAGAAGCAAAATTAGGCCTGGCCTTGAGGGATTCCCTCTGACCTTAGCATACTCTAAGCACAACACAGGACTGACACCAAGATGATTCCAGATGGAGTAATCTAAATGCAGAACTGAAACCATAAACATCCTAGAAATAAGAACAGGTAAATGCTGAAAAATCATCCTGGGACACGACAGTGAAGGTAGAAACTATTAATAATATTAAACTGAGCACGGCCCACACACCAAGCAAGGTGCCAGTGAGCACTTTAGTCCAGCCCCTCGTCGTGGGCATGCAGCCACACCACCGTGCCCACAAGGACATGGCTGCCCCATATGTCCCACCTTCCATGGTGAAGCCAGGACCCCATTTCAGAACAAGCATCAAAATGAAAGACAGGTATATGTGACTATATAAACCATTTAAAATATTGTATAACCCCCTACCACAGACCAAAAGACAGCTGACAAATAGGTTAAAAAGTGTGCAACATATGACTGGGGTTAATACATTGTATATTACAAACAATCTATATGAAATAGGCCAACACGCCAATGAAGTCACAAAAATAGAAATATCATAAAGGTATAAAAGATGTTCAGTGTTCACAGTAATCAACGCAATGGACATTGAAACGAGGTGCACTGCTACCATCAGTGAGAATAAAGGGAAAAGGCACATGTTATTTTTGGTGGTAGCTTAAATTTCTAGGAGTCTGGTAATACTAAAAACTCCAAGAGTTAAACATTTCAATCATTCTTTAATTGTACATTTCCAGTGAGAGGAATTTTTCCAAGGGAGATAACGGGTCGTGTGTGCCTAGAAGATGGCACAGTGGTGCAAGATGCAGTCCTGGTGGCGATGAACAGGGTCACTATCAATACAAGTGGAACTGCATTTTGACAAGTCACACAACAAGGACTGGGTTACCCACGGAGGTGATGTCGTCCATGTTCACGGACGGAAAGGTAACAACAATGGCTGCCATTTACGAGCACCTGCTTCCGCGGCGCGCTGCACGTTCCTCATGAGGACGGTACCGTTGTTGTCCACGCTTTGCACACGAGGACACGGAGGCTTGGAGAGGTCAAGCAGCTTGCTCAGAGTCACCAGCCAGTGAGGGGCAGAACCTGGACTGGGACCTGGTCTGGCCGCTCCCAAAGTCCTCGACCCTGTTGCCCCTCTGCTTCAGATTAGGCAGAAACAAGCTTATAAAATGGAAGTCTCCCACGGTCCCATGTTTACAAACATATGTACTCAGCACCCGAGCTCTCAACGCAATGCCCAACAACAATGGTCCCGTCACAGGCTGGTCACATAGAACTAGTCCTCCCAATAGGATCAATCAGGCAAGACCACATTTAATATCTTGTCAGTTATTTATTATGTGTCATTCTAAAGACTAGCACATTTACAGCATACATGGCTTTGAATGACCTAAGAATATATAAAACAGTAACTGTATGTTTATATATATATATTAATACTGCCCAAAACAAATAAATAAAGGTATCATAATGCACTAAGCTTGGCAAATACAATTGCGTAGGGACAAAACTGTATTATACAATATTTTTACATCTTTAAAGGAAACTAAAGGCAACTGTGCTCTGTAGAAGCTCTGACAGAATCCACATGGCATTCCCGGTTTTCCACAGATCTCTTTTCTTTTTAAATGGGGAGGCATTGTAAGGAACACTGGATGGAACAGATTGAACCTCTATTTTATGGTAACCTGTAAAACTGCCTTCCCTGCACCTCTGAAAACTCGAAACTCCTAGAGAAGAGAGGAGCTGCTGGCCTCCAGGGCTGTGCAACACACACCCTTGCAGGTGCCGGACGCCCAGGAACGATGCCTTCAGAGAGAATCCTGAAACCCGAACCTTTTCTACAGCATTTGCCAAGTCTTACAGTTTTATGGTGACCCATTACATAAAGCGAAAATTGGGAAAATAATTCGTATAAAGGTGCCACATGCAAAACTGCTGACAGATGATCAACATCTGCTATATTCCCTTTGATAAGTGCAGATATTTAATGCTCTTCAGACAAAAAAGATCTGAAAACTATGTGAGTAATACTTGTATTTTTTAAAAGCAAGGAGATTTTTTTTAAAGTTAAAATGAGAAAAGATGGAACTAAAAATTTACCAATTAAATGAGATGGTGGGGAGGTGAAAGGGTAAATCAGCCATATTGAAACGAACTGTCTGTGAACAGAAACTGACACTTAAAAAGGAGACTCTGACACCAGCAGCAGCCACCTGTGCAGTGGGTTTGGCAGGCAGGAGTTTCTCGGCCTCCTGCCTGCCACAGTGAACCCAGCTTTGAGGGGGCAGCAGAGAGCTTCATCCTTCATTAAAGTGTCCTCCACAGACATTTTCCTCCCTGCAAGCATCGGGAGACAGCAGGCTCTGCTTGCGTGCTGACCTCTGAGTAGGAGCAGGTCTGGAAGGTCATCCAGTTCCACCCCTACCTGATGCCCTCCCCCTCTGTGTTCCTGCTAATAAGCAGTCCTCCCCGTGCCTCAGCACCCCTGGCCCAAGTTTGTTACATGTTTCTAAAGGAACCAGAAGAATCTCTAGGTTTGTAGACATAAGAATTTCTAGGAGGTTCACAAATCATTAGGATCAGCATCATTAATACGTGCCATATATATTTCTTTGACAACCTTTTCAAGAACATGTAAACATCATAAACAGAATCAATAAAACATATAAACTCCTAAGAAAAAAAGTCTGCTATGTGCAGATAAGACTCATCATCATCTTATAAAAGATGACCAGACATAATTTTCTATGAAATTCCTAAGTTTTATGGCCCATAAATCCCTTTCAAAATCTCATTTGAGGAGAATAATTTCAACTGTTTCTCAATTGTCATCTTACATAAGAATGAGAATAAGAAAGTAACAATTATTGCAAACCTAAAAATAAGACACTTTTATCAGACGTTCAAACACGATTGTACTGTCTTTTCGAAGATGAATTGGAAATCCTGCAAAAAAAATTTTTCCGAAAATATTTAGGTTTCTACTATCTCTATGGTCATAAATTCCCCATGGGAATGTTGACATGCCACATCTGAAGCCCTAGATTAACATCTAGAGAAGAAGGGGAGATGTGTCCTCTGGGCGTGGGGAAGCCTAGGCAGGGAGCTTCAGAGAACAGGAGACAGGCTAAAGGGACCTTACTGCTGGCTTTGTGTCTCCAGCAGACTCCCTGTTCTGTAACTCATGAGGGACAGAAAAAAGAGTGGCCCCAACTGTGTGGGGTGCCTTGCAGATGTTACCTTCTAACCAAGTCTTATCTCCCGTTGATTTATCAATCTTTCTTTCAACTTCTTCAGGTGGTGGTGTAGTTGGATAATTCACTAGAACCCGTTATTCTCACTGCATGAGATGGTGCTAGCTTCTTTCCCCAAATCACATTTATTGGTCTGCCTACGATCCAATTATTTAATTTATTATTTACTGTTTTACATTCAGATTTTTACAAAGTGGATTGTAATTCAATGGTCACTTTTGAGTTACTCTGTAGAAAAATAAGTGAGCAAGTAGGCGTCTGAAAAAGTCTTCTAGCATTTCGGACAAACCTAGCTTGATTCATGTAGGTAACTATTGATGAGATCTGTGTAGTTACAGCCAAAGGCTATTGAAATGGGCAGTTGTTACTGTCCACACTATTGAGCCAAACATTACCTCCTATTGATTCCAATGGGGAAAAAAAACCCAAAAAACAAAAAACATGCTCCAGAAACTCTTTAGTGAAATGTTTCTTTTTTTAAAAAAAAAAAAAACCACAAAAAATAAAAACCAATCCTTCGGGTCTTCTTGAGGAATTCATATATGACACTAGAGGGTACCCACATTTATTATGTAACAGCTAATTAGAGGAAACCGTGTGTTCACGTTTCAACTTTTCCGTAAGTCCCTTCGGGAGGCCTGTAATGCCTGGGGAAAGCCTTCAGCTGCAGGGAATTAAATGCATATTTGCGACTTCCAACATTCTTCATTGTATTTTCTCTTCGACAACCCTCACTGGGGAAAAAAACAAGCACAAGAAATGACAGCAGTAAAAAAGGAAAAAAGAAAAGACTTAAACTAAGATGAAATGAACTGATTATTTTCATAACATTAAAAAAAAGATTAATTTAAATGGGTGCCGGACTCATTTACAACAAATACATACGTAAGATGGCAGGTTTCTGAACAAGGCAACTAAGAAGCACAGAGACGGACACATGCTGCATGGGGCTGTGAGTTGTGCGTTCCTAAAAGCAGCACTGTAGCTAAGTGGAAGCAAACGTTTTCCAAGTGAATGGCTTCATGTAGCTCATGTCTGAGTCATCTGGGGTTCTACCATAACTTGTGGTTCCAAGATTCTCTTACACAGCAAATGAAGTGGAAAGAGAAATACTACCACTCTTACTAAAGTTGCACTTCAGAGCTTTAAAGAGCTGCACTTTTCTATATTAGCAAGAGCTGTAGTCACATCGAATTCAAAATGCGGACCTTTCTTGCAGAATTCAACAGGTAGCAAAGCCAGCTGGCTAGGGAGACTGTTCTGGTCTGCTGTCTCCCGGAGGACAGTTGTTGTGGGTGCCAGGTAACCCAGTGGCTTCATGCACTGTCTGCAGAGCAGCCTGGCAATCAGGGCTGGAATGTTATGAGGGAGGGATCTCACCGAGTTCTGGTAGCAGCCAGTCACCCTTCCACAGGTGGGCTGCCCCCATGTGTTCCCTCTTGCACAGGTGCCACTGAGCCAGTGAGAGCCCACAGGTACCCTTCCCTAGAGAACTCACTACCAGCGTCATCCCCAGCTGCATTTGATGGAGGGTTGCCATGGCAATCCAGGGGACAAAAACAAACATTGCGTGAGGTGGCCTCACCTGCTCGGTGAGCGCATCCGGGGAGTTCTCTGGGAAATGTTCAGGTGTAGACATAAAACTAACTGGCACAAGCGATTTTAAACATAAACGACTTCCCACAGCACAGTATAACTTGATAGCTTTATACTGTTCTAAGACTAGCAGTGAAATCAACTAGTTATCAAATTTAGTACAAAATTCCCCTTATGAGATGTAAAATTTGCAGTTACCAAGAAACAGTGATTTTTTTTTAAAAACTTCAAATTGTGTGAAGACCATTATGTCATGCATTTAAAAAAAAACATTAGTGGCAATTGCTCAAGCCTTTTAAAGTGAAAATGACAGTCTCATTATCAAGAACATGTAAAATACTTTTGGTAAGACAGTAATTTTTATTCAAAAGCTAAGCTCCGATAGTTTAGAAAAGTATCCACCTGGTTGTTATAACTAATTTGGTAACTTGGATATGCTTTCTTGTCACAGCGCCTCAAGGCCTCAGCTAGATGTGTGTCATCTGAGCTGAACACCTAGGCCACAGAAGCAGGCCCCCTGGAGTAAGGAACAATCATGTTTGCCTAACATTCATTCAGTAATCAAAAACGTACTTCCACTTAAAGCAGAAGCTATAGGTTCTTATATACAGTTAATCTCCTTTAATCTTTGGAAACTCTTACATTAATGAACTACTTCAGATATGGCTTCTCCATTTATATAGAAACGTACAAACTGCTTAAAAACCACCTATCACTAGTAAACACTAAACTGCCGTGAGGCGCGAGGCAGAATAATTTGTGAACTTTGACGTTATCTTTTATTTACATGCTAAAGGAGCTAGTGCCTAGTTTAGCTGGCTGAACACATCAGACGTGAAATTATAATAAAGATTATACTTTCATTTCAACATAGTTTTCAAATCAAATTGTATTTACTTTCCCCCAGATGTCTGAATTTGCAAAATCCGGCTGATGTGGCTGATCTACAAGCCGACAGTCATTCCGCCACCTGCCTGTGCGGATGAGCTGGCAAGAGGGCCCGGGGCGAGGTGTGCAGAGGTGGCGAGGGCAGCCTGTGCTAACTGGGGCTTCCTGCTGCAGAGGCCAAGCTGCTGCCCTAAGGCAGGACACCTCCACTGATTACATTGGCTGCATACTTTTTAGGAATCAATGGTACATGTTGAGGTGGTCTTAGATAGATTTTAGCAAGAGGGACTTAATTATTTCAAAGTTCCACGATTATTTTATTATATCAACAAATTATTTCTTTCCAAGGGCATCCATTTTTGAAATGAAAATTAAAATGGACACCCCAAATGACAGGTAATTTTAGGGAATCCTCTAGTTTTCCGGTTCCAGTGGGGTCTTCTACTTGAGAACTCATCTGCAGGCATCAGGATCTTAGTGATTCTATGGCCAAGCATGGCGTGGCTGCTACCCCTGCCACTTTGTGGGGGAACAGGCCATCGTGTTAAAATCTCTGCTGGAACCAAGCCATAGGTGTAAATGGTGACTGTCACCCTAGTTGAAAAAACTTACACAACAGTTTTATAAGACCAACCAAAAAGAGCCACTCCTGATCATGGTTTCCCTGAACACCAGGAGCTGGTTGACACTGACAGTGCCTCAGCACTACTACTGTATATGCAACTAAAAACCATCACTAAATGTCAGTGACCCCTTTCTTGAATCATCTCCCCATCTTTGTTTCATCCTATTTCTCACTAAAGCAAGTAAGATTTTGAATATGTATTTGGCCTGATTTCATGAGTTAAAAGGCCTTAGTGACATTAAAATTCAGCATAAAGGGAGAGCAACGGAGTTTCTTTTCTCAAATACTTTAAGTTTTAAAAAGCCAACACCAGCCCACTGCCTAGGCTAATCTCATGGTGTCCTTGTGGTAGCTCTCCAAGCGCACAGGCGGCATACTGATGTTCACCCAGCCCCTGGTGGAGAGAAACGAAGAGCCTTATCTCGCTCCCTTTGGTCTCATTTCTCTCAGCCCAAGGGCCAAGCCCACATGGGCGAAAAGGTGTGGTGACAATCAAGGATCAGGCCGTGGTGTCCTTGAGGCCCCCTGGGAGGGGCTCCTCGGCCTGGGCACAGCTTCTCTGTGCTGTGGGGCAGGGGCCTGGGAGGGGCCCCTAGAGGATGCCACAGAAGCATCCCTGAGCCCTGGGAGAGGGAGGGGTGCTGTCTGCAGTCAGAGGGCCTCCCTCTGTGCATGGGCTCTGCCCAGCCACTAGCCCTGCTGTGGAGGTGGGAGTGCGCGTGAGTCACCACTGCAGGCACTGGAACCACATTACCAGGAGCAGGACCAGGAAGCTGTGAAATGGGACCTGGAGGAGGCTGTGGACTCTGTTTCTTGCTTTCAAATAATGCAAACAAGATGGTCTCAGGTGAAGTGCACGCCTCAATGTGAAAGAGGGAAAGTGGCAAACATGCCTTTCAAATAATCACAGGCTGGACAGGACGCTGCCCAGGGACTGCTATCATGCTACCAGAGCTTACACCACCCAGGAGCTGGCGTTTGGTGAGAGAATCCCTACTGACGGCTGCCAGGAGCTATGCCACAACAGCCACCTCATTTATTTTAGAAGAGACAAGTGAACACGCTGCACTTGGAGAAGCGTGGATTCACTTACGGGGTGACACACAGGTGACGCCTGCCCTGGGGAGCGTGCAGTGCTCAGGATGGTCTTACGCTTTAGAATGTGAAGTGTCGAGTCTAGCATTTGCCATTCATTGCTAACCGCTTCTGTGATTCCTAGGACCCAGACTCTGAGCTGAGACCAAATGGGAGAAAGCCCGGGGTAAGGTCTGGGAGTCCTGGAGAGAGGACTTCTGTGGTCGACTGGATTTCTGGGCATGCGTGGGTGTCAAGTTTCTGGAAAAGCAAACTTCTCTAAATTCATTCCCATTTTTCTGGCCTGGTTAAAAAAAAATTGTCTTCATCAACTACAGTGTATGGGGAACTAGCTGGAGATAGAAAGTGGGGGCACAACGTAATATGAACTGGAAAACAGAGAAGCCGCTGCCTGTCCTACACAGGGTGTGGGGAGTTCTTCCTGATCTATTTGGTCACCTTTACAGGTGTAGAGTTACCCTCTGCCCCACATGGATGTTAAGGTTACACGTCATCGCGTTGCAGGGAACGCCGCGTGAGGACTGAGGGGCACCGGCAGAAACCAGAGCGCCCGCTGCTCTCACGGCTCCATCCACCGCAACTGCCCACAAGTCAGGGATCATTTTTTTTGGCAATTTTTCTTTGATTTGATTTGATTATCAATCATATTTGATTAGTAAGAGAGAAAAGATGTTGGAACTGTAATCTGCAATTAAAGATACCATTTTTAAATGAAAAATACTGCTTTAAAATAAATAAAAGTATATAACTTTAACAGCCTTTGGTGACTATATGCATTAATTCCTCGAACCAGCTGAATGATCCTTACATGGTGAAGAGTAAATCTAATGTCATATGCAGTAGGTGCTCTTTCTGTGTCTGGTGTATGTAGTGGGTGATCTTTCTGTCTGGCGTATGCAGTAGGTGCTCTTTCTGTGTCTGGTGTATGCAGTGGGTGATCTTTCTGTGTCTGGTGTATGCAGTACGTGATCTTTCTGTGTCTGGTGTATGCAGTACGTGATCTTTCTGTGTCTGGCGTATGCAGTAGGTGCTCTGTGTCTGGCGTATGTAGTGGGTGATCTTTCTGTCTGGCGTATGCAGTAGGTGCTCTTTCTGTGTCTGGTGTATGTAGTGGGTGATCTTTCTGTGTCTGGCGTATGCAGTAGGTGATCTTTCTGTGGCGTATGCAGTAGGTGCTCTTTCTGTGTCTGGCGTATGCAGTGGCTGATCTTTCTGTGTCTGGCGTATGCAGTAGGTGCTCTTTCTGTGTCTGGCGTATGCAGTAGGTGCTCTTTCTGTGTCTGGCGTATGCAGTAGGTGATCTTTCTGTGTCTGACTGTGTCTGGCTCTTGCTACAGTGTACTACTGTATTCACAGCTTTGTGTCATCCTTAATTGGAAATAATAAACATAAGCAAGGAAATGGTAGGACTCTGCAAACTGTTTGCTACTGTAATTCAGGGACTACGCTTTGAAATGAAAGCAGAAAGTACATGTCCTATTAGATAGGTTTTTCTAGATGAGCCGGTTATAAAGCATCTGTCTTTTTCTTTTTGTTGGTCATTGAAAGGAAAGGAAGGGTTAGCAGTACACTTAAAGAATAGTATCAAATATACAAATTCTCTTCAGACAGAACTCCTTTCTCTTGGAAACAGGGCACATGAGAGGTACAGGTGATAGATAGTTGTACATCAGAAGGTAGAGACGTGGTACAAGGAATTCCAGGCCAGCTAAACAGTGCAGTGACAGGGTACCGTAAGAACATGTTACAAGCACTGAAGATGCTACAGGAGCTAAACAAACAAGTCTTCTTGGTGAAATAATTTGGCAGATATTTACAGTTCAGAAGAACAAAACGTCAAAATGTAAGGCATGAAATATTTCTTGGCAGACCACGCTTTGACACATTCCTTCTGTCCAGTTAGGTACACGGTGGCTGGACATGTTCTGGCACTTTTGTTTTTCTTGTGACTTATTAATTTTTCAGAATGATACTCATTTGCAACGCAATTTGGTCACCAGGTATGCTATGCTCAGAAAGAGCCACACAATCAGTAAATTGGGGCTCAGAGCCAATAAAGGAATGGAACAGAGGAGGCTGGGGTCTAGCCTTAAGTCTCGGATGGGCACCAGGCCGCTCAAGTTCTTCTGGGTGACTACCTCCCGTGTTCCAATGCTGTGAAAAGGAAAAAGTTTGGGAGAAAGAAAAACGAAAAAGGAAAGAAAATAAAGAAAGAAAGAAGACACATGCGATGGGTTTTCTCAAAAAGGATGGGATAAAGAAGAGAACCAAAAGATAAGGTTAAACAAAAATGAAATGAAGTCACAAGAGAAAGAAAAGATGGAATGCAGAAACGGGTATGAGGGGAAGACCAAAACAAAACCAGCACAGTCACAGGAAAAAAAAAAAAGGAGAGAAAGAGAAGTGAAAATAAGAAAAAATACTGCAATCTACTGAAAATAAACACATGTAGGTTGAACGAATGGTTTTCCATGTTCACTCTCTCGGCTGGCCAAGCCCAACGCCATGCCGCCCGGCCATGCTCCCACATGCTGCACAGACAGGGACCTCTGAGAAGCAAGCTGAACATGAAGAACCATTGGGGGTTTGACCTTCTCACAGATGCCTGAGCAGGGGGTGGTACAAAGGATTTGGCCAAAGCTGCCTCTTGATCAACCACGCAAACGAAAACCATTTACCTCAGGTACCAACCAACCAAGCGCAGAGCCCCCGCCAGCCCCGCCTCGGGTTCCAGGCTCAGCCGTGCAGGCACGAGCGAACTGCTGTTTCCATCTTTGCAACTTAGGGTTCTACAAGCATCCCCAAGGGTGGAATCCAGCCAATACCACACTGGAAATTTGGGGCTTCTCTCCCCTTTTGGTGCTACAGAAGAACTGCACTGAGGTGAGATGGTACCTAGCACCACACGACTCTGGGAGCACATTTATGTCTGCCAAGTGGCAGCAGTGACAGAATCAGAGGCCTGAGGACACAGCAGGCAGCTTGTGAAGGCTCCACTGGGAGATGGGGCGGCAGGAGGCCCAGGGTTCCTCTTCACACAGGGCCCTCCCCAGCTCTCCCAGAGGAGCCCGAAGGCCCCGTGGCCCTGCTGGAATGTGCCGTTCTGCGAGGGCGCGATTCCCAAGCCGCGGAGCACTGGCCCGCTGCCACACTCCCTGCCAGGACAGGCTGGTGGGGGGCCCTGTGGCTACTCAGGAAGGCCTACTTCGAGGGCGTCAGCCCCAGGACTGGGGACAGGGGTGCCCCAGTGGCCAAATGTGTGACTCTCTTCCCAACTCCATGTTCAGTGGTGCCACACTGGGAGCCTGAAACGGGCCCTGGCAGAAGCATTTATGCCACAGAAATGGCCAACATGACAGATCAGGGCTCTTGGGGAGAGGGCTGGTGGCTGAACATTGACAGCACAGCCCTGGCCACCAGTCACCCTGGGCCTCCAGGAGAAAAGCCTGGGTGCCACCTTGGCCCCCACCACCTCCACCCCACCTGCATGCTCTACTCTTCCGTCTGATAAGATGCAAGCCAGAAAGCCATGAACCAAAACATCCCCATCGACCCACGGGCAGGGTGGAAGTTTATACTGCCTTCTGGGGCTCTCCGCTAAACTGCAGGTCCTCGGCACCCCAGCGGCCAGAGCTGCTAGCTTGTGACCCAGCCACCTCGGCTTGCAGCCGTCTGAACAGGTACATGTCTTCCCCTCATGGGATCATACCGAAGACAGAAGTCACCTTAAAACCAATGCTTGTGACAAGAGCCTCAGACCTGCAAGGGTCGGCTCAAGGTGGCAGCGAGCCGTGTCCCCAGCGCTGGTGTGAGAATTCCGGGGCAGGCACAGGTAAGGTAAGAGGCAGCTTTGTTTTGTTTTTATAACTTCTTAAAAAACTATTAAGAGTAATACATGTTCACTGTAGAGATTTCAGAAAACCAATAAATAAGCAAGTTAAGAAGACATCCATGATTGGAGGCGGGGGGGTGTTGAGAGAGAAAGAGGGCGGGGTAGAGGGAATGCTGCCTGTTCCCCAGGAGGAAGGGCCTTCCTTCCCTTTGCCAGGCCCCAGGGCCCTTACCGCTAATGCGGAGAAACAACAGCCCTTACAGCTTCAGAAGCCTCACGAGAGTGACAGGACAGATAGCGCCCGGCACGGGTAGTGTCCTGTGCACTCTGGGACACCGGGCACGAGAGCAGCTACTGTGGGGACCATTTGATGATCTGTACTAAAATTATGCAAAAGCCTTACAAACATGTATACTTTTTAACCTAAGGCAATGTGGCTAGGAGAATGTGTAAGGATATTCACTGTGCCTTTGATTAAAATGCTGGAAAACCACATACAGCTTTTAAATATTAAATGACAGCAAATTGGATAAATTACAGTATGTGGAAAGTGGCCGGGTGTGGTGGCTCACAACTGTAATCCCAGCACTATGGGAGGCCAAGGTGGATGGATCACTTGAGGTCAGGAATTTGAGAACAGCCTGGCCAACATGGCGAAACCCCATCTCTACTAAAAATACAAAAAATTAGCCAGGTGTGGTGGTGGGTACCTGTAATCCCAGCTACTCAGGAGGCTGAGGCAGGAGAATTGCTTAACCTCTGGAGGCGGAGGATGCAGTGAGCCAAGATTGCACCGCTGCACTCCGGCCTGGGTGACAGAGCAAGATTCCATCTCAAAAAAAAAAAAAGAGAGATAAGGTCTACATTTATTAACCTAAAAAATGCTCACAAGACTCTTAATTGCAAATATAATTACACTTGTTTGTGCATGTGGGTGTTTCTGCTCTGTGTAACGCAGGGACTGGTTAGCCCCTGTGTACGTCCTCACACCCAGATGCAGGTACACGTCTCTTATCTCAGTATCTATCCAAATGTCAGCAGCGCTACCTGTTCACAGTACGAAACTGGGAGATTCTTTGTAGGGAGGGTTCTGAAGAACTAGTGTGGGTGTTTATCTGTATTTTCTAATTTTCCTACAAGGATTTTCAATTCCTTATGTGATTAAAAGTTATAAAAAGTGCTTTGTGCACTGTGCATCCTAACAGTTGTAACTGTAGCAGCTGTCCTGAGCACACAACCCAAGTGGGCTGGGGCAGGCGGACAGGGCCCTTGCGGGTCTGGGCTCAGTGGCAGGCCAGCCATCGCACTGTGGCTCTCCCTGGGGCCACTTTGTCACTGGTCTCCTGAGGTCTCTGTGTTCAGAGGTGGTCAGAATGAATAGTTCCCTGGGGCCACTTTGTCACTGGTCTCCTGAGGTCTCTGTGTTCAGAGGTGGTCAGAATGAATAGTTTTTGTTGAACTTGTTTGAGAGCCCAAGAACTGAGCAGGGGTCTCCGCGTGGACTGTGTGCCTAACTTGGGGTGCCGGCTCCTGACTCGCCCTGATCCTGCTCCTTGCTGCCACCACCGCAGGGATCCCTGTCCGCTTCATTCTCCTTTCTTTACTGGCGGAGGTCTGCAGCTCACCAGAACGTCCCCTCCCACCCCCGTGCAGCTAATGGGCACAGGCGCAGCCGCCGTCCCTCAGCACCAGGGTCACACTGGACATCAGGCCTGAAGGGCACCAAGGCTCCTGGGGAGCAGACCAGGGAATTAAAATTTTAAAAAGGCGCCCCGGAGCAGGGGTCTTTGAGTCTCCACTGCTTCCCTGAGCCTGGGCAGAGGGATGGCGAGCTTTCACAGAGAGGTTGGGATGAACGTGGAAAGACAACACAGGACAAAACGATTCCATTTTTACAAAATGCGCTTATCAAGAGGCAGGGACTCGCGCGTTGCTTTTGTGCATTGTTGTGAGAAGGTCAAATGGCAGAAACATACAGAAAGGATAAGAGAATTGAACACTTTAAATAATTTGGTGAGAGGACAAATGATACAGAACATTTAGTAGAAGTGACCGTTGGAAACGAGACTTTAACAGCATTGGTGACTACATCGAAGGAGACGGGAAACCAGGTTTCTTATCCTTTCTTTTGGTATGTGAGGTAGGGGGCTGCCCAGCAGTGCTTGAAACAAGGCATCGATCAACAGGAGACACTTTTAGTTCCGGGTTTCATTCTGCAAACACGCCTGCTGCCTCAGAATCAGAACATCATTAGGGTGAGGTCGCCAGGGCACACGGACAGCTCTCATGATAAAACACTCATGTGACACTTGGCTCATGAGAGCCAACTGTGTCGACTGCTAGAGAAGCAGCGGAGCAGACCGGTGCAACCTGCAGACGCGTTGCTTCGCTCGACTTTGGAAATGTGCGGATATCAATATGTACACGACGACAACAGCAGATGCCTGCTGAGAAAGCACTGGCCCGAAGTCACACCCACGGCCAGGCAGGTGGCCAGCAGGGCACTGCACCTCACGGCTGCATCCCAGCTTCCCGTTCAGCTGCCTGACCCCTGGCTGGCCCACCAGTCTACCGGTTTTCCGGGCAGTCCTGCTCAGAAAGTCCTGCTAGCTCTTTCCCCCCACCTTTCCTTACAAGAGCACCCTGTCTGAATTTGATTGTGCCAATAGTTTGACTGGTTTGTCAAACTCAAGTGTGACGGCTGGAGTCAAGGGGCTCATGCAGGGTAGGCCCCGCGGGCAGGAGCAGGGCACCAGCTCATCTGCAGTTTACACGGGCCGGGGCAGGCGGGGCGCACGGCCTGGCTGCGGCACTCACCTGCGCATGCACTCCAGGGCCTGGGTGAAGACCTGCGGGGCCATGCCATGCTCGTGCTGCAGGATCAGGCACTGCTCCAGCGTCACCGACATGGCTGTACGGTCCTTCGCGCTCTTGCAGCTGGTGAACCGGACCCCATTGAGGCGACGGCAGATCTGCCAACAGAAACATGGGCCGTGCTTAGGAGGCGAGGCTCCGCAGAAAGGCAGAACCCTTCACACCCAAGAGAGGCTCCCAAGCAGCCCAGCAAGGGCAGGGACAGAAACTCAGCACCCAGGCCTGGCCAGATGCTCCCACTCTGTTCCCCAACTCCATGCCCTGCCAGAGCTGGTAACAGCAACCAAGTCACTTACAGACACCAGCCCTTTGGGGAACATGCTGCCTGTGGGCCTGCCGTCATCCCTGCCATCCCTCATGTGGCCTGTCTTCTCCCACAGGACACTCTTTTGCAGCGTGCTGTCCCCTTCCAAACCATGCCTGGGCCCTCTTGTCACGTTCAGCCCTTCACTGCTGATCCCTCAGGGAAAGAGAGCGGCAAAGATGACCCACTGGGGAAGCCAGAGCCATTCTCAGGATGCCCATGGTCCCGGGCCAGGTCTCCAGATCTCCCTGGAAGGTAGGGAACAGACCTACTCTCTCGACTCTCCTCTCTCACCTGCACAGACGGGAGCAGCTCAGAAGTGGCACTGCCCTTTGGCCACCTCCTGACCACCAGCCCCACAGGCCTCCTCCCGCCATCGTTTCCCGGTCGCGGAGTTAATGCCAGCACACTTCCCTCCTCACAACAGACTGGCTCACAGAGTAGGGGGCAGGGCAGCCTCCGGACTGGGAAAAGGCCACTTGAGTGCACCTCCTCTCCCCACGGGGAGATTTCAGGGCATTTTCCCTGCACCACTAGATACAATCCTAGGCACACAGTCACCAAATCCAGCAAGCTCTGAAACAAGGTGATTTTTTCTTGTACATCTGTGGCAATCTCATTTGGCAGCACAACCAGACCTGAGCTGATATAAGACCACTTACAATCTTTACTTATCCAATGTTATGTAAATATTCATACTTTTCAGTGTGGCAATAATATGATTGCAGGGTGCTGTCTCAGGCTCCCTCGGGGATGTTAAATTCTGTATGTATACCATGGTACACACATGCGATGTGCACCATGTTACTTACATAAACAAACACCAACTGTGCACCACAGGACTTTCCACAATCTGAAAACCTGTGCGTTCCAAAACATCTGGCCACAGGGGCTTTAGGTAAAGGGCCATGCACCCTATCAGACACTGCACTATGACGCCAAGGCTGGTATCTAATGAAACATCATCCAAGTGATGCGATGGCGGGCTCCAGGTATCTGTTGTACGCCAGAAAAATATCAGTGTCTCGTCAACTCCTGAAGATGGCACAACACCTGCCTGGCAGGCCAGCAAAGCCAGAGAGCATGCCAGTCACTGCCAGGATCATCGCTAGACACGAACATGGCACACGTGGCACAGTGCTAAGAGCCTTGTCTAGGGAAAGGGAAAACAGAATAGACTCAGTGTTCAGGCAAGACAATCAGAAGGAGAACAGGCTTCTTCTGAGAACAGACCGACAAAAAGAAGGAAAGAAGAAAGAAAAACTAACAGGCTCTAAGCAGATAAGCAGACCTTAAGCTAATGAAGAGTAAATTAATCACATTTGTGAAGTTGTAACTGACAAAGCAAGAGTGAGCCTGGTGTGTGCACTAAATCCTATGGGCTGTAGAGTTCCGGACCCAAACACATGATGGAAGCTGGCACTACAGGTTTCAAAAAGCTTTAAATTCATGGATGCTGCATCCAGAGCTAACGTAAGGTTCTGGAAGGCAGGCAGGGGTGGCCGTGATGCATCCTTGCCCGAGAGGGCACTGCAGTGCCAGGCTCCCATCCCAGAGGGCCATCAGCCACTCCTGGTGCCCTGCTGGGTCTCCCCATCCATGAGATACGGGCTGAGACCTGACTAAAGGGATTCCAGCTATTTAGTCAGGGACCCTTTGTTCATACACACAAACGAAAAGAAATAAGAGCCTGAAAAAGAGGCTCTGGTCAGAGAGGATGGGAGGACTCAGTTCCTGAGTGGCTGGCACTGCTGCCCCACAACCCCTTATCCCCAGGGGATGCCTGGGGTTTGGTGGACAACATGAGAACCCATGCAACTGGGGGTCTCTGAGAGCCTTCCACCTCTGCACTCATGCTTGTACACCCTGAGGCCTCTACAGGAACAAGAAATACAGGACTTGATGGACTGCTTTTCTGTTCTGGTGACAGGGGATGGTCAGTTGTCCCTATACTTAATGATTTTTCTATTACATGGCAATAGACAGGTAGGACCACAGTTCCCAAACAAGGCATGCACAAGGTCTCTGCACCGCTCGTCTGTAAAGCTGCCTGTGTGTGTATTCTAAGGAGAATGAATCAGTGAGTGCACATCCCCCAGTCCCCCACCACTGTTCAGACACCTAGCTGTGTCACCCTCTGCATTCTTGTTTTTTTTTTTTTTTTTTTTTGAGATGGAGTCTTACTCTGTCACCCAGGCTGGAGTGCAGTAGCGTGATCTTGGCTCACTGCAACCTCCGCCTGCCAGGTTCAAGCAATTCTCCTGCCTCGGCCTCCCGAGTAGCTGGGATTACAGGCGTGCATCACCACGCCCGGCTAATTTTTGTATTTTTAGTACAGATGGGGTTTCACCATGTTGGCCGGGCTGGTCTCGAACCCCTGACCTCAGGTGACTCATCTGCCTCAGCCTCCCAAAGTGCTGGGATTACAGACGTGAGCCACCGAGCCCGGCCACCCTCTGTATTCTTCGTGTCCTGTGGGAAAGGCTTGCTCTTCACACAAAATCTCTTAAGGTGCTTAGGTAAGAGGCTGTCACAGCCTGGCCAGGGGGGTTTAGCAACCCCCAGAAAAAAAAACAGTAGGGAGCCCCCTCTGCCCTGCTGCAGAGACCCCCGCAGCCAGTGTGTTCCCTGCCCTACACCTCGCTTGCTGGGCCTGTCCTGAGCAAGCAATGCCAGATGAGGCCCCAAAACCAAGAGGATACCTGAAAAATGAGGCCTGAGAAACCTGCTGAACTTCCTGTCACTTTGTGCTTCAAAATGTGTTCTGTTAGAAGGAAAAGATTTAGAGGGCAGCCTGGGCCAGAGAGGGGAGATCTGCAGACTGACCCACCCCCTGCTTCCCACAAGGATAAAGTCTGACCGGCTGAGGCACTCAGCAGATGGAGGAGAATGTTCACTCTTTAAAGCTGAATTCAACGGAATGGTATCAGCAGCCATGACTGTTAACAAACCCAGAATGTGCAGCACGTTCACAAAGTGCGGCTTCATGAAGCCCGGCTCGAACACAGGACTAATAACCAACCTGAAGCGGCGGCCACGCGCCGTGAGCAGCTGAGACCGTCTGCCGCTGTGGAAGAGACCCGGGGCTGAGAGAAACACCTTCCTGACAAGACAGAGCGGCACGCTTCAGAGTGAGCTGCTCGGGGAAGCCGTGGAGGGCGGGACCCTCTGCTGCTCGAGCTCTGTGACAAGGTGTGGTGGCTGAGGTGTGGTGGGCAGCGCAGTGCCACCTCCCTCCTGGGCTCACCCTCCCTTTCCTCAGGCCCAGGCAGGGAGCGGCAATGCCACTGGAGGCCACGTGTGCCCGGGTCCCAGCGCTGGGCAGGTTATGCTGCTGTGGAGAAGAATTAACCTCACCCCTCATCAAGCGTGAATGAATGACCAGCTACGAAATTGCTCTGATACCCAGGCTCAGAGCAGTGGCTTGGAATTCCACAAATAAACTTAGAAAAAAATACGAGCAGGGTAAGTGCTTGGGAAAATGAGGAGATCAGAAGCACAACGGACGATAAAGATGGTTTAAAGAGACCTGAAAGGTCACATGGCCTCCTTCTGACCCTATTAAATGATGCAGTGAGACAGTGGTTTCAGCTGGTATCGATCGCCAGGCTTCTGAGGGTGACAATTGTCATCAGCCTGGCTAGTAAATGCCCAAGAGATGGACTGTGTCAGGTTTATCAGAATTCAGGCAGCCCCAAAGGAACGGACCCGTGAACTGAACGTTCTCAGTGACTCCCTCTTCTCCCCGTGTGGAGAGCTCTGCTCTCCTCGGAGATTCTGCTTTGTAACGTTTCTGTCATGACGTTCGGTAGTGGGCACCGCGATAGCCTCCTTTTCCTCTCTATAACCAGTACCTCGGCGGCTTGCCAGAGAATGTCCACGTTCTTATTCTTCCGGGCGTGCACATTCTGACCCAGGAACCGCAGCAGCTCTGGCAGGCACGTCTGACTGCGAGACCGAGGCAGGCCTGGAAGAGAAAAGGAGTCCGTGGGAGTGGGTGCCGCACCCAGGAACACCCCCGGCAGAGGGAGCCCACCCAAGTGAGCTGCCGTGGCACACAGTGGTAAAACGATGAGGTCCCAGTGGAAGAACGGATGGAGGTGTTTGGGGATAGGACATGGCTGCTGGTGTGGTGAGCACTTAATTTCTTTTACTGCCACCTTCAAAGGACATTTCCTTCATCTCCCTTCAGTTCTTCTGAGGGGCTGGGAATGGCGACCGAACCACCTACAGGACTCCTTGTAACTACCGATGCCTCCTGCACCCCTCCCAGACGAGGCAGTTAGCAGGGAGTCGGAGGGGGGATCCAGCTGGTCTTCAAACCTTCCCCAGGGTGGAAGAAACTGGGGCAGTGGGTCTGGGCCACTGAGCAGGCCTGGAAACCTGGGGAGGGATCAGGAAAGCGTAGCCCCCCCCAGGGGTCCCTTGGCCCCTGCCAGGAGCACACACCTCTGCAGGACCCAGGGAGGCCCCTGCTGCCACATCCTGACAGCTCCTCCTCCACTCTGGTAATCTCCAGGTCCTTCCAGGACCCCTTGGGCCTGAAGATCCATCAGGTCACCTTACCAAGAAACCCCAGACAAAACCGAGGAACACATCAACCACTCCCGAAAGGTACTCTGGAATTTTCAAACACTGGGATTACTAAAGACAAAGAGAAGAGCCTCAAGGTCATGGCTAAAGAAAACAGACACAGCGCCGGAATCCCCAAAGCCAAACCAAGTACATGGCAGCATCTGGGGTCTAACTGCACACCTGGTTTCCACCACACAGCCTTGCCCTGGTGTACACAGGTTCTGTGCTAATTACTTCATGTTGCTGCTGAGCGCTCCGCACCACGCTGGTCAGGGGACAGGCCAGAGACAGAGATGGAAAGCTGGCATCAGCTGAGATGGAAGCTGTGGGAGCCCAGAGGAGGGGAGCTTAGCCGGGTCAGGATATATGCCCCCGGCGTAGACAGCACCATCTCACCTCCCAGGATGCACTTTGGCTTCTCGCTGGCTGCCCCTGCAGCCCCTACTTTAATGAATACCTGTCCACTGAGGAACCACGCAAAGTTTGGGGATATTCAACTGGTGGGCTCCATCTCCTCAGCCTCAGAGACCAGCCATCCTCCTGTGGGGAGGGGTACCTGGGCTGCATCTGCCCCAGCTTCCTGGGTCACGGTCCAGTCGGCTCCTTCCTGCCTGCGTGGTCCAGCCTGGCTGCTCGGCTTCCAGAGGCCTCGCTCACCCTGGGCCTTCACTGCCTATGGTAACGGCTCCCCGAGCCCTGGGGACTGGGCGCTAGGAATAAATTCCCGCTTCCTACTTACTGCAGCCGCTCAGCACTCCCGCTCCTCCTGGCCTCAGCGCGCCCCTGCTCCCTCCCTGCTCACCTTCGTGGCTCCCTGGCTGGCCCTGCGGGTGGGCCCATCCTCTCCCCTACAGCAGTCAGAAGACGCTGGCTGGGCTTGGCCCAGCTCCTGGGGAGACTCGCTCTCCATGCCTCAGTTTCCTCATCTGCCAAGTGGGTGTGAAACCAGTGCCCATTTCCCAGGGCTGCTGTGGGGATCAGACTAGAGAATCCACATAAAGTGGGTAGCAGGGGGCCCGGCTTGTGGTGTGTGATAAATCTGCTGTCTGAACTCCAACCCCTGCTAAAGAGCATGAGGACGCCTTCTAACAGCTCCCACGCCCACGGCACTGATGGCCTTCAGCTGCCAAATCCTTGCAGGACCTTGACTTCATGTTATATTTACCACCCTGGCTGTGGCACACGGGGACCACCTGGGGAGTTTCTGAAACCCTAATGCCCAGGCCCTGCCCACTTACCACACTCTGGGGTGGGGCCCGGGCATCTGTATTTTTCCAGGCTCTCTGGCTCCAATGGCATCTGTGCCAGTCACCTCCACTCTCCTCAAGGCCCCAGTTCTGTGCTCACCTCTCTCATGTTGAGTTGGACAAGAACACCTGTTTTACTGGGGAGACTGAGGCCGCCCAGCCTGAGCAAACTTCCTCCATTCGTGTCCCTACCTTCTCTCCTCCCTCCTTCCCTCCCTGCAAGGGCACCCTCCGCCTGCCCGCTCCAGGGCCTCGCCTGGGACTCTGCAGTCGTCTTGCATCTTCCAGCCCTGTGTGTTCTCCTTCCTCAGGCCTCTGAGCACTCCCATGGCCCCTGCAGCTCCAGGGTGTGTCCCACCTGCCCACAGCCCCATCCCTCAAGTCGCTGACAGTCTTCGGGACAAAGTGGGCCCTTCCAAGGCAGCACCATTTTGTCACCCCTTGATCCCTGGCCCAGCCCTCGCCACAGTGAGACTGTCTGGGAGAGATCACCGGCAGCTCCTTGTCCACACATCCGGAGTCCAGCAGCGCCCCACACCCTCCTGGCTCCTGTCTTCTTCCTGCTAGCCTGTGATGCTCCCTCTGGCCTTCTGTTGAGTCCCTTCTTCCCTGCTGTCCCCCTGGGGGCAGGGGCCCCTCCAGATGCTGTTCTAGCCCCTTCTTGTCTTGCCACTCAGTGGCCTCAACCACAAAAGGGCTCTGCTCTGTGGCTCCACATCTGCACTCCCCACAGATGCCTTGCCCACGTCATCAGCTCAGCCGGGCCAGTGCTGCGCTCGCTCTCCCCTGTAGCCCTGTGTCTCTCTCATCGGCGGGGCAGCCCCTGCTGTTGCTGCCAACTCCAGCGTCCTTGCCCAGCGCCAGGTCTGTCAGCTCTCCCGGCAGGCACAGCCCTCACCTCCCCAGCGCCAGCTGCACGTGGCCGCTTACGAGCGCATCCTCAGCCCAGACCCTCCTAATACCTTATCCCTCTCTCCACGCTCACTGTCACTACCCGGCTGCGGTCAGAGTGAAGCAACACCTCATCTGAAGTGTCATCTGAAGTTCACAGCCTCACTCTGGCCATCAGCGGCTTGCCTCCCCTCTTCCGGCCCCGCCACACACTCTTGCTAGAAGAACCTGTGAAGAGGCGGCTTTTTTTTCCGCTGCTTCCCTGCTGAACACCACTGAAGCCACAACTTCCTGGCCTGGCCCCGAGTGTTCTGCGTCAGTGTCTCCTAGCAGGACGGCTTCGGCCACAATCCCAGCACGTGGGCTTCAGAGCCAGGCGCCCCTTTCTTCATCTGGACATGGATCCTATTACCGACCCATGGGCTGTTGTGGATTCAGCGTGGAAATGTACGTAGAGCCCAGCACAGTGCCTGGCACATCCGTGACCTGTGAAGGTTCACCAGCAGTACTGTTTGACTATCTCTAAACTCTAAGGTCTACCGTACCGTCCAACAGGATGCAGATGAAGCCTGCCCAATTTAAAGCCCAGCCGACATGGGTTCCCTCTTTGGAAACCCCCAGCAGAGGACATTCGTGTAACGCAGTGGGGATGACGCCTTCGGCTGCGTGGCGCCCCCTAGTGACTGTGGCAGTGCCTGCAGAGAGAGGCCGGCACTCTGGGACCAGCTCTCCTTCCAAGGCAGGGTCCACCCCTCATTTGCCATCGGATCCTCTAGCACTTTACACTCAGCAGGTCCGCAGGGAATATTCACTGGGTTGAACTCAAGAGGGAATTCTACTTGTAGGCAGTGCTGAGCAGCCCTTGGTTCCTCCCTGAGTTCTGTGGCTGCAGAGCCCTAGCTGCAGCATCTTCACTGGAGGACACGCAGAGAGATGACTGTCAGCATCTCCACGGCCTCCAGGAGATGCCGAGATGGGGCCATCTTGCTCCCAAATGCCCAGCAATGTTGGCCCCGCATCTTCCTCTCTAAGCACCACAAAGGGAGGTGTGTGGGCCGCTCACCTGGCCGAGGGTGGGTCCTGCCTCTGGGATTTCCCCAAGCCCCACCAGCAGGTACACAATGCGTGCCACCAAACGCATCGAGTGTCAGTGACTACGACAGCGTGGGAAGGAGCCATGTCTCACAGGCTAGTAGAGAATCAACAGCAAAGAGATGGATGAGGGCCGTGGCCAAGGGAAGCTTCTCTCTCTCTCTCTCTCTCTCTCTCTCTCTCTCTCTCTCTCTCTCTGCATGTGTGTGTTCAGGGAGAAAAGGAACATGAACTAATAGAGGCAGGGCAAGCCAGAGCTCAGACATCTAAACTGATAAAAAGACGAGTAAGTGAAACCTACCGTGACTGAAGAAATACTTACAATCCTCAGGCAAAACTTCCTTAAACTGCTCAAAGTAGGAATTTAACCGCACCAAACTCTCCACGTTGATGACTTCTTGTAAAGACGTATCGCCAAACCTTGGGAGATTATAGGGGATGCCATTAGTTGGGTAATGTCACTTTCTTCCAACACGAACACAACTGCATGGAAGCTAACTATGTTGATTCTCTCAAACAGTTCCTATGCATATCTAAATTCTAAGCCACTTTCCTTCTTCCGAGCATAAAGGCATCTCTTCAGCGGTGCCGGTCAGTTTAAATGCATTCCATTGGCAAGAATCATGTATCACTGTTACAGGCGTGCCGAGAGATGATCAGAACATGATCTGGTACAGGCCCTGTGCAGCACACCTGAGGCACTTAGGAGGGGGGACGGCAGTGAGGTACGGCTGGGAGGTGAGGCTGCAGCCCTGTACTCCAATCTGAAGTCACTCTCTGTGTGTGCAGAATGCACACGCCTGACTGCCAGCTCCTCCAGGACTGACCATGAAGCCCTTGCCCTTTCCTCATCGTGCAGGTTCACCCGATTACACTCCGTGTGCTGCAAGGAGCATATGCCAAATGCCTAAGAAACAAGGCCATAAAATGCCACCTGCAAAGAAGGCACAAGGTGGTCATTAGAAAATGCAGGCTCTGAAGTCCAGGTCCTGGGCCCCAGTGCAGTCCCACAAGTCCCTGCTGAGGGTCCTTCTGAGCATCAGTTTCTTTGCGGCCCTAGAGCATCCCTCAGAGGGCAGGACTCCCTCCTACGAGCCCCAGCCCATCCACCCCTGGTGCCCACAATGGCCTTTTCTTTAGGCCCCTGCTCCCTTGGGGGCCATCCCTGACCCTGGGCCTGTGGCCTCCCCTTTGAGGGCTCTCCCCTCAGCTTATCAACAAGCCCAGCTCACAGTGACCGCAGGGCCAATAAAGGAACAAAGCCAAGAACCTGCCCTTCCCAAGTCCTCTCTGTCCTCAGCGTTGCATCCTCCACCCTCCCCTCTACTCAATGCATCTGGCCCTGGCTCAGTCCTCTCCAGAAACTGCTCCTGCAAGCCCGTGGGACCCGTAGCTACCGGATGCGGGCGCCGTCATTCTCCCTTCCCTGGGCCACCTCCCTGCTGGGGCTCCAGTGAGGCTGCGCCTCTCCCTGGCATAGGCGCCTCCAGCTCTGCTCACACCTTTGGGGCTTTGCTTCCTGGGCTGGTGCCCTCAGCCCAAACCCAGCTCACCACCTGCCTCTGGAGGCGACTCTCCTGCCAGTTTATGAGCTCAGTGGGTGGGTCTGTCTGGTGTACTCTCCTCCCGCTCAGCGCCAGCCCCACTAAAGACTAAACCCTTCCACTGACCACTTAAACAGTTCCCCAGCCTACCCGTCTGCAGAACACCAACACTCTCCCGGCCCTGATCCAGGTTCCCACCTCTGGCCTGGACTCCTCCCAGCAGCTTCCTCCTCACACTTGTCCCCTTCATCTCCTCCCAGCACGTGCCAGCGAAACAACCTACTTGAAATGTAAATCGGATTGTGTCCTGGCCCACTGAAAGTTCTTCATTGTCTCCCAGCAACAACACCATATTTCCTAAGTTGGGGTGACCCTACACCTGGGCGTCAATGGACATCAACCACTGGGGCTGGACATCAGAAGGCCCAGTAGGAACATGGCATTTTGTTCTGGAAACCAAATTTCCTTCACAGCAAGTACCTGAAGATATCTGTTTAGACTAATCTACACACATCACATGAAGATCAGTGACAACACAGGACTCATTCTCATGTAGTGGAAGTCCAGTATAGGGTACATATACCCCATCTACCCTATCTCCTCACACACGTGCACACACAGGCACACGTGCACACACAGGCACACACAACTCCCCTCTGCGGAGTGGCAAGTGACCCTGGAGGGGAGTTTACAAGGTGTAAGCCTTTAGGTTCAGGCATGAGTGTCAGCCTGGCACACAGAGCCTGTCTACCCCTACCTGCCAATCCCTGCCTGGAACCTGTTGCCCCTGAACTCCATGCTGTTTCTCCCCGCCAGGTCTTTCCTCAGTCTTCTTAATCTGACACGTCTCCCCTCCACCTAATCATCCAACTCCTACTCACACTTCAAAGCCTCATCCCCTGCAACTCCAAGAAGCCTCTACAGACCCCCTTAGACCTTGCTGGGTGCCCTACTCGGGATCCCACAATGCCCTGTATCTGTCTTCATCGTTGCATCCATGCCTCTCTCTCCCACCAGCTGAGTCTCTGGGGAGAGACCACCTTTGGGTCACCCTGTGTCCCTAGCACCAGAGACAGTGAGGTGCACGGCCATGATGAAAATGCTGGCCAAAGGAAGGAAGGATAACGACGTCTGTCCAGTACTTGGAGCCTGAAGAGGGGTAAGTATGTTTTCTGTGTCATCTCCAGGGCCGCCGCACTCCCACAGCCCCGAAGGGCCAGCACGCACCTCTCGGCCAGCGTCTGCTGCTCATTGATGCCCACGTTGAAGAGGACGGGTTGCACTCGCAGCAGCATGCCGCTCTGGATCTCCCGGGGCAGGGCGTCAAACAGTGGACCCGGCAGAGGGACCCGCACGTTAAACCCGTCGCTGGAGAAAGGCGGAGAGAGGGAGAGCAGTGTGAGGCCAGAGGGCCACCGAGCAGACGGCAGTGCCCAGGCTGGCCCTCTGGCTCAGTGATGGCCAAACGGCCAACCACAGGCCTTTAAGGGAGTGGTACTAACCTAGGGGCTGTAATCAGAGCATTTAACAAAATGAAATAGGATAAAAAATTCAGAAGGAAGAGTAGATTCCCTGAAATAAACAAATATGAACACTGCTCTCTGGCTCAGAGAATTTTAAAGCAACACTCTACCGATTTCCTGTGATGACGGGCAGCATGTCTGCGGAGGCGCTGGAAGTGGCCTGAGTGACTTTGAAGGTCACGTTCCTCAAGTCCATGATCCCAAGGCTCATGTCCTCCAGCATTGCCAGCTCCTCCCCTGGACACGAGAGAGGGACGGGGCTGTCAGGCAGAGGGCCCTGCTGCTCTCCCCAGTCTCAGCAGAAGGCAGCCGAGCTCAGGCCTGGCTGTGACAGGAGTGGTGCAGGTGTGGCTCTGGTGGAGGGGGAGTTTCTGAGCCTCTTCCCCTGCAACCCACTCCTGTCAGTCAACAATGCCTCTGAAATCCCACAGCCACATCAGAACATGCAGCCAGTGGAAACATGTGCCATCCTTTCCCATTCTTTCTTGGGCAAGCGCAGGATAGTAGGGAGGGAAACAAATACATAAACTCAGAAAGCAAAGCCAGCTCCTGAAACACGAAATGAGAGATGCTAAAGCAGCTTTGCTGAGGCCAGACCCTCCCCTTACACAGGGCTTGGTATCTATTCGATGTCCTCAGTTTCCAAAGATTAACAAACGCTTTCTATCACCTTCTCAGAAGAAATAAATAATAAACAAGGGTAGGAAGAAGAGAGCCTTTTTGGAAAGCAACTTGGAAATATCTATTAAATTTAAAAATATTCCTACCCTCTGACCCAGTAACTCTCCTTCTAGTCATTCAGGAGCCGTAGAAACAGGCCCACAAGTGCCTCGTGCACAGAGGCCACTGCTGCACTGGTGTTTCAGGAACAACCCGAAGTCCAACAGGAAGTTACTGGTTAAGTGATGAACATCCATCCTCAACCAGAAACAACAACAAACCAAGGCGTGTGCCTGTGTAACTGCCAGGACTGCCATCTGGTCCGCTGTTATGTATTTTGGATTTATTCTAATCAGCACGCATTACTGGTACAGTGAGAAAAATACCTAGCCAGAAAGGATGGAAACCACACACGTAAGTGGGGCTCCCGATCCTGGCCCGGGGTGCCTCACCGTAGGTGCTCAGCAGGCTCTCGAACTGGGCCAGCAGCCCGATGGTGTAGAGCTGGCGCAGGAAGCCGTCGTCATGCAGGCAGTTCCTCAGCTTAATGATGAAGCCGCAGATGAGGGCGGTCAGCTGTGGGGGCGTGGGGTGAAGCGGTTCAGGGTCACATGCCTGCCCACCAAATGGCAGTCAGATCATGCCCAGCCCCCCACCGCCCCCTTCCTCTGTTGCCACTGCTCAAAGGGGCTTCAGCGGCATCTCCTGTCTCTCGAGAAGCCCAGGTGGGGCACGCCCTGGCCATGGGAAGATGCCCAACAGTGGGCTTGCTATTCCTGTCACTCACAACGTAGGTTTGGTTTTGGCCTGGCTTCTGACCTGACTTGTACCTGGCATTATTCCTAGGCTGGAACCTTCTGGAAGCCCATAATTAATTACTCATAGTGAAAGGGTCTATCTGCTCATAGAGCCACGCCATCCTGGCTGGAAATTCAGCCCCAGCAAAAAACAGAAGTGAGAGACAACATGGTCACTCAAAGTTTCCTCAGTGGGAGATTTTCTGTGGAATGAAACAGGACTCTCTGGGATGGGTGAGGGAACTCGGAGAGAACCCGCCCAACCCCAAAGCACTGTTCACTTTACTAATTTGGTGACTGGCAACTATTAAACTTGTTACATTCATTTCAAGGCTTCACTTCTCTCAACAATGAGAGAGTCCTGCAACAAGCCGCAGAGCCAAGGCACCCACTGTTATATCAGCCATGTTTGCACCGACAGCAAATACCTGTGTTGTTGCCCTCACTCAACTCCTGTGCAGCTAAAAAAAAAAAAAAAAACACACAGCAAAAAGGCCTGCGCCACCCACGCCCTCACTACCTCCTGGGTGCAGAATCAGCAGACTTTGCAGGTGCAAAGTTAGGGTTAGGGTTAGGGTTAGCGTGCTCACTTTACAAGTGAAGTGAGAGGCAAGGGCTTCCTAAGCCTGTCTTTGCCGAGCTGGGAGGTGCCCGCTGCCTCCCTCGGGGTGCTCCCGGGGCCTACCGTCTGGCAGAAGACCACGTCACGGCGGTACTGCAGGCTCAGGTAGGTGGCTATGGTGGGTGCGCTGTCCTGCATGAGCAGGAATACCATGGCCTTCTTGGCCTTGTCACTCATCATGGCCACGCAGTCGGTGAGAGTGGTCAGCAGCGGGTAAAGGGCCTCACTCCATTCACCTGCGGCACAAGTGAGGGGGTCATCACAATGAGAGAGAGGTATTTGAAGAATTAGGTTCTGGCAATTTAACAAGTCACCTGGCCCCTAACCACTGCAGCCCTCCCACTCGCCCATCTCCACCCCATCTTCTAGCTCTGTCTAGAACCAACCCAGTCCCTAGCCCTCGAGCCCCAGCTCTTTCCAGCAACCTCAGACATCAGTTCTACTCTGGTACCTCCAACACATGCCTGGTCTCCTGAACCTGTTGGGGACCATAGACAGAAATACTTCAGACAATGCCTTTGGGGGAGAACAACAAAAAAACTTCTGCAAGTCATGACGAGGCCAGAAAATGCTCTGTCTGCAGGGGCTCATCTCCTTCCACGCACGGTAGCACCTCCACGTGAAGAGGAAGGACCCCAGAAAGGTTCTCTGTGCTCCCCCTTCTCTTGACCTGGGTATGAAGTCAAGTCAGAGACTCCTCTGCCCTTGCCAAGCCTTGTATGCAACTGTGTTCAATTCTCACCCTGCACACCTGGAGGGGGACTATTCCTCACAGTTCCAGAGCTTTCAGCCCTCAGAACGGCCCCACCTTGCACTCACTTCCTTCCCCACCCCCACCTTCCTTCCCCAGTACTATTTCTAGCTCAGTTTTCTTTTAGGAATATACGGAAACTTTGACCCTGTACCAAAACAACTTTTTAAAAACAGAACCTCAAGGGAGAAAAACAGGGTGAAAGATATTTTGGGTTTTGACTCTTTTTTTCCTTCCTATTTAGAAGACATTTAAAAGGGAAGACAGGCCCTCATTAAGGTTCTATTTGTAACAGGTCACTAAGACCAGAAATAGGCATCTGGCCATCACCACTTGGTGAATCCACCACACCAAACATGGTGAGAAGTTGTGGAGTGAAGCCCGGGCAGTGCACACCCCTTAGGGTGAGGGTTCGAGCCACAGAATGCACCAGGCCATGTCCCGACACGGCACTCAGGGAAGGCCCCGGCTGTGGGAGCTGTGCGGCTGCCAGAGGGTAACCTCTGTCTCAGATAAACAGAATCTCAGAGACTGAGAGAAGGGCGGCTTGGCCCTGTCCTCTCAAGCTGGATGGTTAGCACGTCACTGAGAAACCAACCTAAAGAAATACTGAAACATGCCTAAGAATTCCCTACACTCAGTGTTTGGTTAATGGAAATGTTTAAGCATCTGTAGCAGCTCAAAAGTTGGAGGCGGCCTAATTGCACATGCAGGCACACTAACTGTTTGTGGACAGCATTTGTATCTGTAACGGAAAAAGCAGGCTTAAATTTAGAAAGTCCACAGCAGACAGGTCTTAGCAAAGGAACCACAGTGACGAAGAACACTGAACTGAGAGGTGGAAAATGTTGAGTCCCGGCCCCGGCCACTGCTGAGCAGAGGTGACCACAGGCCAGGCCCTTGACCTCTCAGCCATGTGGGACCTTTTTCATAAAATGAGAGAGAGGCACTAGATAATATCCGAGTCTCTTTCCTCCACTGAAGTTCTCAGAGACCATGTTTTTGTTTCTTTGAAGAATTCTGTTGAATGTATGCCGATTACATGAAGTGCCTATCAAAAATGCCAATGGCAAACAGGCTTTTCTAGCCAAACAGTCTGGGGAAAGGTAGGCAGTAGACTATCCTTCTCTAAGAAGTACATGCTCTTAAAGAAAATGTTGCCAGTTTTACTTTGTTCTTCTACCTATCATGCATATCGTGAAAATCATGATTATTTTAATCTGAAAATGATCAAAATATACAACCGGTCTTACAACTTTTTCACTTTGCCTATTTCTCTTTAAACTAAATTCCCATGAGAATGATTGCTTTGCTATATTAGGAAAAAAATGGAAAAAAAAATTGTAGTATAGAAAGAATGGCTAAAAAGCACTAAGACGTGTGTCCTGGAAAAGAGGAGATATGGAACTTGGTAGAAGGTGAGTGTGGTTATCTGCCCAGAGAAGGGCTCAGACATGTCTGGAACAATTTTTAAAAACTTCAACCAAAATGAGTTTCTTGGGCAGTAACATGATTTCTACCCAGGATCTAGTGACGTAAAGGCACCTGGGTCACCGGGATCGCTGAAGGGTTTATACTCTGCTTCCTTCACTAGAAAGCCGAGTTATGAAAAAACATCGGCTCAATGAAACAATGTCCTGAGTGACGTCGCCGACCCGTGTTTTTGTAGAAAGCTCCTTATCTAGTTCCTAACCCGTAATGTTTGCAGACCGGTAGTGAATCCATGGGCCGTACTAACTTAGGTAACTTTGAAGAGCACTTTCAAATCCAGACTTTGCTTCTGCATTTTCGCCTCATTAGTAGGGGAAGGAGAAAGGGAGAGTGTGTGTGCCTTTGTAAGTGTGTATATTTTAGCCCAGATTAAATGCAGTTCTCCAGGAAAAGCCAAAAGAACTCCTTGCAGGGACCATCTTAGTCCATCAGCATCAACTGTGAAAAAGCCATCAGTGCTTCTGGAAATGTCCCAGCTGATGTACAACCAGGAGGGCTCTACAGGCCAGGCATTGTCCGTGGGCTGCCCGGGGACCCACGAGACTTCCCATTAGTTCTGCAACCCTCAGGAGCCCAGAATTGAGAAGACCCCCGAGCTTCTGTGGGAGCAGATGCACATGCCACCAGCCCTCTCCCGGCCCTAACTGCTGGGTATGGCCCCAGGCTTCAGCACCACTGAGGCTCAGGCGACAGCTCGGTCTGAAGGCACTGGCCTGCCGTGGAGGTCAGCTGAGGCATGGGCCCAGGGGAGGAAATGGAGGAGGAGACCAAGGCCAACTATTTGTACATCTACCAAGGCCTCAGTAACCTTCGGGGTCCAAGGGGGTGGGGCCCAAGGCCTGCTCAAGGTGACACTGACTTTTGGGGAAAGAGAAACTATGAAGGGGCTGAAAGCAAACTGGGAGAGTCCCTATGAGGTGTCCAATCAGATTAACCCGCCGACGGGCTAACTTCTAAGAGCGTCCTGGGGTTGCTGCCAGGAGCCACCACACTACGCTGACTCACGGGGCTGTATGGGTGGACAGGCTTCACTAGCAATGCGCAGGAATAGCCGTTAGCCTGGTAAATCCCACAGTCATGGACTCGTTACATTCTAGACATCAACAAAGTATCCTGCTCTCTTACATGTATAACCAGTCAGAAATACGCAAGCGATAGACTGACCATGCAGCTGATTTTTGGAATGTAAGAAAAAGAACATCAAATCATATTTATTATTTGGGGGACTCATGCTCAAAACCACAAGCAATACCCAGGAAACTCAATATGAACTAGATCAGGGGTCAGCACACATTTTCTTTTTCTTTTTTTTATTTTTTTATTTTTTTTGAGATGGAGCCTTGCTCTGTCACCCAGGCTGGAGTGCAGTGGTGTGATCTGGGCTGACTGCAAGCTCCGCCTCCCAGGTTCATGCCATTCTCCTGCCTCAGCCTCCCGAGTAGCTGGGACTATAGGCGCCCGCCACCACGCCCGGCTCCTTTTTTTTTTGTATTTTTAGTAGAGACGAGGTCTCACATTGTTAGCCAGGATGGTCTCGATCTCCTGACCTCGTGATCCGCCCGCCTCAGCCTCCCAAAGTGCTGGGATTACAGGCGGGAGCCACCGTGTCCGGCCGAGCACACATTTTCTGTAAAGAGCTAGACAGTAAATATTTTAGGCTTTGAAGGCCACGGGTTCTCTGCTGCAATGAACTCTGGCACTGCTGCACAAAAGCAGCTGTAGACAATCCATGAACAAGTGGACAAGGTTGGTTTCCAACAAAACATTATTTATAAGAGCAGGCTGTGGACAAGATTTAGCTCAGTGCTGTAGCTTGCCAACCCCTGAACTAGAACCATAAACATTGGTTTCTACATGCAAATGCAGCAAAGAGATTACATTTCTGGCACTAACTCCAACTGAGGCCCATAGCGATGTCTGGTAAGAATTCTAAAACCGCACCCAGAAAGTCCAAAATGTGTACCTCCCTACCTCAGGTCACCCACATCAGGAAGCCCAACGCGCTCATCTGAAAAGACTTTAGAATGTAAGAGTAAAACAAAGACATGTGGTGGTCTGCCTCAGGTCACAATTTCCTCCGCTCAGCTGGTCCCTCATCAAACCTGCGAAAAGTGTTTCATGCCTCACAACGAAGGAGGTCCTGGAATACTTTCCCGACTCTGGGATCATAAGGCAATCTTTGGTAATGTAGCTACAAAACACTACCTGAGTATTAAGTAAGAGGGCGTCAGCAGGAGCCTCGAACGGAAACCACGTACCTGGACTGGACTCCTCAGGAGGGGGGCTGCAATCTGCACAGAAATGGAGGGCGACATGGATGATTAAGGAGCAGCACACAGTTCAAACCAAGCAACTCAGTCTCAGAGCAGCTGCGTGAGCAGCTTGCAGTAACGTGGCTAACAAACAGAGAAGAGGTCTTGGTGCCTGGCTGCCTCTTCCCCAAGAAGGCTCACCAAAGTACTCCGGCAGCAAGCCCTCTCAGTGGTAAACAATGACAGATTCCCCGGCTTAAACATTCATGTTGCCAATGCTTCAACATCAAATGCTCTTCGGGATGTGCGATCTAGCTTATTACAATGTGATGAATGCCGCAGGAAAAAGCACCCACATAAATCACATTGTAGTGGGGGAGCCCTGTGTTGGCTTGCGGCATCTGGAAGCAACTTGTAAGGAGAGAGACTGACCAGCACACGGAGTGGTCCCCGGTCAGGCCTACTGCTCTGATTCACCGGGGAAGCCTGGGCTCAGGATTGACTGCTGAGATCCAAAGTGTTAAGATCCAGGAATGAAACCAGTATACCAAAAAAAAAAAAAAAAAACGATGCCAATCTTCCACATTTAAACCAAATGCTAAGTTTTGTGATTTAGGGGTAGTCTCCAATTAGAATGTCCCTTCAGGTCCTTAAAGAACACCAATTTTGACTCCATTTAACCTTATTTCAATTTCATATTTCCCTTAAAAACTAAACTTTCCAGTTAACTGGGTGCACCATCTAAGAGAAAACGAGTTTGAAAAGGAATCATGGGAGAAAACATTTATGTTAATTTATGTCTGAGCTTTTCAGTTCAAAGAATGTCTTCAGGATGCGGAAATGAGGTGGCCTCGGATCCCGGATCCCGAAGAACAGCCAGAACAGCTTGATGGGGATTTTACAACCTAGGTTGTAAAGAAGGGCAAAGCATCCTTCCTCTCTCATCCTCTTTGGAAGTGACTTTTCAAACTGGCAAAGGGGAAAGAGAATACAAAGGCATCTGTAAGGTCAAGAGTTCAACCTCTTCGTTAACCCAGATACCCTGAGGCCATGTTGCTAACAAAGGTAGAAACCCACAGTGATTCGGAACTGTGGCTCTTACATATTGATCTGCTCATCAGGTTATGCGAGGCCTTGAAAAAATAGATTTTTGCCTCCCCATAACCCATCTTCTAGGATTCTGAGTTTATGAATGAGGAGGAAGGTCTAGGAGCCTGTTCCCCAACAGCTGGGTTGGGACCGTTGCTGTGAAGGCATCAGGGATTAAACCTGATTTGCTAAATTCATCTTTCAATCAAAGGGGAGAAAGAGGGGGTCTTCCCTGGTACTCCTGGAATAATGGTTTGTAACTTGCCTTGGGTCAAGCAGTTGGGAACAGATGACCACTCTGGACTTCCTCTCTATACACACGCAGATTCCAGCACATAATCTCAGGGGTACAAGAACCTGTGGGTACCCACAGACCCCAGACTAAGAAAAACTTGGTGTAAGGGTCTCTTTGGGTATGAGGAGAGTGACAAAGCGTACAGGAGGAAGGCGGTGGAAGCCACTAAATCCTAGTGGGGCAACAGTGGCACACCTTGGCAGGTGGGGGTGGAGGGGCACGGGAGACTTTTGGAGAGATGAGAAGAAGGGAAGTTTGAGGAGCCTCTGTGGTTTTGGCTGGCAGATACTTGTCAGTGGGTCCCCCACAAAGCCTTGGCCCTGGGTGACCCTCACCCGCCAGACAGGGCTCTCTGATCAGGGCAGGGCAGCTCTGAGGCAGGGCAGCTCCCTGGTGAAAAATAAAAACCAAGGACCTAGGACAGGGTATAGCACTGGAATGAAAAGTGATGATGCCTTTCAGAGCAGTGCAGAGTTATTTTCACATAATAAATATGTTGGTGTGAACACACCTGCTCATTAAGCCAAAACAATGGCTCCAGTAACTTGGAATGCTATAAAAAGCCACGACAGAGCCAAGCCGTGGCACTGTGGACAAGACTCACCGAAATAAATACTTCACAGACTGCTTCTTTCTGATCCTCCTGCTTACACTGAGGACTGAACAGCTTCCTGGCTGTGCTAAAAATGTTTAAATTAAGGACCATCCACAGATAATTTGGTGGCATATGGTTTCATACATTTCTTTGAGTACTGATCAGCAGAGTTAGACTCTCTCAAATGTAAGTAAGCTTCACATTCCCATTATTATAACAGCTGATTCTTATGGCACACGCAAGCCAAACCCTAAATAGCATAAATGCTCATTTAAATAACTTTAAAACTGAATAAAAATGTATCTATATTTAAACAATACAGGATGTGCCTAGAAAAAAAATGACACTTAAGTTAGGGATATAATCCCATCTGATGAAATAAACTAGCTCCCACATTTAAAACAGCCAATAAATTACTCTTCGTTATCTGTAGAAAAATTTAAAATCACAAGATAATAAAGTGGAAAGAAATAAACAATGAACTTTCAGAAAGTTTTCAAAAGGAACACGATTTACATAAAAAAGAGAACATGAATAAAGATAAAATAGTTCCATGAACCAATCACAGGTGTGGGGAAGTGAAACTATAAACCCCCAGAGATGGAGAGATGGGTGACGGGACAACGGTCGAGACAGAGGCTCAAGTGAGACAGTGCCCTGGAAACAGACTGCAGGCAGAATAAAGAGGCAAAGGGCGTCTGACAACCCGAAGGGGGATTTGCCCAGAGGCTCTGACCAAGAAGCACACTGACACCTTGAATGGAAGTTCCCCAATTCAGAATATAAAACCCCTCATCACAGGAAGCCTAATCCCAGCACATCTGGGCCTTCCCTACTATGGCTTAAAACTCCCGCAGGAGAACAAAAAGGAGGCAGAAGCTAGGTCTGTGGGCAAGTCTCAGCCACCTAGCTTGTAACTCTCCGGCTCTTACAGGAAAAGACGGGAGGCACCTCAGTTGCAGGGACCGTTTCCCAGCTTTAAGGCTCTCTGCAGGACAGTGTCCTGGCGTGCCGTGTCTCTGCGGACAGGAGACTGTTGTGAAGCTGCTTCATGCCAATGTCCTACCCTGAAGGGTTCTGCCAAACCACCCGACTCGGACCACAAGAAGCCCAGGAACAGGGGCCCACTCTCTGTGTTACTAAGCCCCAAGGCAACATGCCTCTGCTGCGTCAGAGAATGCCCAGCCAATGCCAACCAGCTTTCAGACGTGTCCACTGGACCTGCCAATCTCTCTCATCCAGCTGTGTCCCTGCACAATTCCCCTTTCCTCTTTCACTCAACCAATTTCTAATGCCATAGACAATCACATCAGAAAGGCGTCTGCATCCTGGCCTCCTTCAGGTTCTCAGATTGCTTTACAAACCTGAAAAGCCCAGGAGGCCAACCCTTAGAGCCACGATGGTGTATCCCAAGAGGACCCTGAGATTCTGACTGGCAGAGATGCAGAATCACACACGGGCTCCAGTTACATAGAAAGGCAACCGGAGACTCCGCTCTCACCGCCCGCTGCTCCGTGCACTGGGACGCCCCCGCTCCACCTGGCGGCCCTCCCTGCAGTCTGCGTGGGGGAGGAGTGCATGGATCAGAGACACAGACAAACGGAAGCAACACAAGGTGAAGTGGAGGCAGCGTGTGGGAAGCATGGATGCATACGCACGTGTGGTCAGATGAGGATGGCATGCAGCGGAGGGCATGGTGGAGGGGCATGGTGAGGAGGGGACATCACAGAAGGGGTCTTCTGGTCTGATCCAGTAGGCGTGGCTGTCCGGGTTACCTTTCTTGCTGGTGCAGCTGCCTGCACAGGGGAAGACGTCCTCACAGCCCTCGCCGTGCAGCCGCTCCCTCTGCAGCAGCTTGTCCACACGCTGAATGATGCATTCTAGGCTCTTGTCCACGTTCAGCCACACTTTCTCCTTCCAAATCAAAGGGGCCCGTGTGGGTCAGCTCTCCCGAACAGAAACACAAACAGAACACAAACCAAATCGCCCTCCACCGATCCCCTGCCCTGGGCTTCCACACTTGTTAAAATACCTCAAAGTTTAGAAATACAAAGATGATTCCTAATTCCCCATTAAAGTTGCATTTGCTTTTCAATGATGTATCGATCTCCTGTGGCCATTGTTTTTAGAGTTTGGGAGAGGTTTGCTAGTAACTCTTCTGGAGGCCAGGTGGCCCTCCAGTGCTGCCTGAAGGGCCACAGGGCACTGACCCATCTCCTCCTCCTGCCACTGCAGACTTCCTACAACCGTCACACACAGACAAGATGGAGGTCTCCTTTGGATGGAAGGGAACGGAAATTTGGATAGAGGAGGTGGGGAGGAGGTGAGGGAGGTCTGGGAGTGATGTGCAGAAACACACACAGCATATAGGATGCTACTTTGCTGCTGATTAATAGTTCAGGGCTTGCAGAACAATGCCTCTAAGCGGTAGTCTCAATCAATGGCAAAAACAAGTTGTACAATATGTCACTCCCTCAAGAAACACAGATCCTGCTCCCGGCGCCAATTCTCTGAGGAACAATAATGTGATGCAATGTCAGGGCGGCCGCTCCAAAATCCACAACTACTTGCCCCAGCACCAGAGCTCCCACATCCCCACATACACACAGCCCTGGAAAATCTAACAGCAAACAGAGCACTGAGGAAGTAGGAGAGGCCTGACTGGTCTCAAGCATCCCAGGGCCACAGAAGGCACAGGCGGCAGGGGAAGGAGAGACCTCCAACGGGGGAGGACAACCCACTTCTCTTCCTCTTCATCCAGGCCTGAGGCTGGCCCAGGCCCCAGCACAGCTCTACCCCTATCTGGACACCAGGTTTCCAAAATAGTCTCCCTCCCTGCATCAGGAGCCAAGGAGCCATCCAGGAAGGAAACCTGGAGCTTGTTCACAGCAGTCAAACCTTGAGGCACTTCGGAGGGACAGAGACTGGCAACAGGCTTTGAGGTTTTCGGCCCAAGTCCAGCAGTGGGGTGACAGCCACGGCAGCAGACTCACCCACTCCTCCTCGTGCCAGTCCACCTGCAGGGAAGATCGGCTGTTTCTCCCTGTCCACCGGGCCATGAGGGTGTCCTGGTCATTTCTAAGCATCACCTGCTCCTCCTCAGTCGAAGTGGGAGAAGCCTTGGAGGCAATGTAGTCAGGCCGCGCGGCGTTCAGCCCATGGATGGAGTTGGCCAGGAGCTTGCAGTCGCAGACCGTGACCAGCTGCCGTGTCTGCAGGTGCACACAAACCAAGGCAGCTGAGCCCAGGCCAGGGGTTGGGGAGGCCCCTGCCTTATCTGAGAAATGGAGAATGGGCTTAAAGCCCAGTACTGCACCCCTCTGCCTTTCTCCACAGTGCAAAGCAACTGAAGGGCTACATCCCTCAAGATGTCTGAATACGAAGACGGCCATGTGGCCCGCTGGGGCTGAATCTTAACAAGAATTTCCCAGCAAGCAAGAGGAAAAGAGGGTGAGAAATCTCTGACATTCTCTGATCCCTGCCTGCCTCTGACCTGTGACTGCTAGGGGAGGGGCCTGCAGAGACAGCCCACTGCCCCAGCCTTGACAGACTTCCTGGTCTGTCCTCCACCTTCCAGCGAACAAGTGTCCAGGGGTCAGGTCTTACTTTGGTTCAATTGTGGAAGTCTTATCTTTCGTTCCTCAGCATCTAATACATCAAGTTCTGGGTCTGGGTAGCTGGCCTCCTGGCACAACATGTCTGGTTTAGGAGAATTCTGCACGCATCACGGGTTCTGTGGTTCATAATGTTACTGCTAACAACTACATCTTTCTTTTCCAGTGGATCTAATCCCCACCTCACACTCTTTATGCTGTGTGAACACACGTGAAGGATATTACACATTCTGATCAGGAAAAGCAGTTCAATAGCACAGTGAGTGTGAGTGCAGAGGTGCAGTCAGAATCTGTGTGTGTTTGTGTGTGACTGTGTGAGTTTGTGTGTGTGTGTGTGCACTGAGAGGGAGACTGAGTGATGGGAAAAAGCATCATCCATCAAAAGGGTCTGATAATAGCCACTTCCTCAGTTGGGATTAATACTTACATATTTTTAAATCAGGATCAAGTTATGGCTAAGTAGAAGCTGGTGTACTGACTGTATGTAAGCCAATAAAATTATATTGTTCTTATCTTATGTCTGTATAATAGCTCAGTTTCTGTTTTCAAATTCAACTACAATAGAAATGTGGCAAAAAAAAAAAAAAAAAAAGTGCTGGTTAGGCTGTTACTGAGAAAGAGGTGGAACTGTATTAGCCTCAACAAAACGAGCCCCACGGACTCACTGAAGGGCACACGTGCCTGAGGCTGCACCTAAGAGTCATGAGCCCTGGGCTCTGCCCTTTGTCTGTCCAGCTCTGCGGACGAATCACGAAACCTCCCTGGTTTTTGTGGGAAATGGACCTCAGGTAGACCTTCAAAGTCTTCCCAATGTCACGCTCTTTGTGGACCACCTTAGGCACACCTGGGCTGCCCGGCGGCCCCCAGAAACCCAAGGAAATTCCCCAGCCCACATGCAGCAGGGCACCCCTCCTACCTTGTCTGCCAAGATGGCGAGTGTCCTCTCAAGGCCAGTGGCAGACCTGTCCTTGGCTGCCCTTGACAGCCGCTCTGCATAGTAGCTGACTTGGGTTTTCAGGGTGTTGATCTGGGCGATGATCTCCTTGGCTCTGACGACGTCCTGTGGTATGTAGATTATGGACTGGCAGCCAGATGATGTACTGGAAAGGATAAGAACAGATTCTAAGGGATTCTCCAGAATCTGTAAAGGACGACAGCATCATCCCAGCCCCAGTCACATTAACCCTAAGATGACTCAGGGATGTTCTGGGACTCAGGGCTGTTCTCCTAGGCTACTCTAGTTGTTGATGAGCAAAGCATATCTTAGTGGATTCTTCCTGTCTATATGGCAGAAGCTTGAAATATTAAACTATGACTCAGTCTTCCATCTGTATTTGCATGTATCTGTATTTTCACTTGTGTATGTAAATGTGTGAACAGGTATTGAACAATCATATCCCGTAATCACCCAAATGATCATAATCTTTCACCTCACAACCTCATCTATTAACTTATAAGCAGTACTTCAGTGGAGACGTGGAGACCATCTACAGAAGAAGGGGTCAGGTTATCACAGTGTAGCAGAGACTGCAGTGGGTGTTGGACTTTGTCCCCAAGCAACCAAAACCTATTTTTTTTCACTTGGCCAATCAGGAATTCAAGCTCCCTGTGAACACACCCACAGTCATCCTTCCTCTCATGTCTGACCCCAGCAAGTCCCTAGAAAATTGGGTTTCCTTTCCCTTTCCTTCACTCCAGGACTTCCCTAATTTGAGAATTAATGTTTCATCAAATGAAGAGAAAGTGGAGAACATGCCAAGCCACAGGCAAAGCCGGACTCCTCAGTGGCTGTGAAACCCTGGCTCTCCCTCCTTCCCACCTCTTCGCCACCAAGCAGCGTGTGTGTCTAGGGGTCTGATGCCAAGCCTACAGCCTGGCCCCTCCCAGCACAATCAGGAGGCTCTGAAGGACCAACTTCACATCCCCCCGCTATAGGGGCCTGGCCAGCGTGTTGGGTCCAACTACATGGTGATGATGAACTGCGTGTCTCTTAGCCTGGATCCCAATCAATGCAATATTATACATTTATTTTTCAGACCATCTGAGGAAGCTGAGGAAAGCAGGAAGAAGTACAAGCCACCAGTGCAGAGGGTCTCCTCCTAAAATTTGAAATTGTGAGCTCTGGGTAGAACTGGTGTCCCTTCACACATAGGATGAGGGGTCCTGACTGGTCCCTATAAAGAGTGACCCTTTGAATTCTGGGGAACAGCGAGAAAGAGGAGGAGCGAGGGCACCTCTCACCACATCCTCCATCACTTCCCCTGGAGATGACAGTCACCTTGCTCAGGGCTGAGAATCTTCTCCCATTGGCCCCTTCCCAGGGAAGTCCCAAAGTGGGTCATCAAGAAACCACCACTACCCCTTCCCTTGCTGGATTATGCGGCAAACATGCAAAAACCGAAAACCAAAGCACCCCAGAAAGAAACACCACCACCACAAGCCCACACGCCACAGTAAAAAACAATGGATGTGCCAGAAGCTCATGCAGCAGACCGCACTCAAGCTCGCGGGGCACAACAGGAGTCATTCAACAGCACGATGTGCACACGACTACTTTCCAATCTGCAATCACTCTTCCAAATGAATAGCTGCCTTCTAGGATCATTTCGTCTTAAAAACACAATCTCAAAATAGGGTGTTAAAAAATCAATTCAGCCAAGCATGGTGGCCTATAATCCTAGTACTTTGGTAGGCCAAGGTGGGAGGACTGCTTGAGCCCGGGAGTTCAAGACCAGCCTGGGCAACATCGGGAGACCCCATCTTTTTAAAAAATGTAAAAATGTGTTAGGCATGGTGGCTTGTGCTTGTGGTTCTGGCTACTGAGGAGGCTGAGGCAGGAGAGTCAACTGAGCCCAGGAGTTTGAGGCTGCAGTGAGTTTTGATGGTGCCAGTGCACTCCAGCCTGGGGGACAGAGCAAGACCCTGACTCCAAAAATGGTGAAAAAAAATGGATTCTTCCCAGACCCCCAATATTTAGAGTACATATATCAAATGTGCTGTATGCAGATCTACTTCTGTGCAAGGAGGTGGCCGTGTGCCCTTCAACAAATATATACCCTCTGCCCAGGCCAAGAGAAAAGCACTGCCCTCTACTTGCCCTGTGTTCTCACAAGTCATGTTTTAACGATGGTACCTGGGACTTAGGCACGGGATATACATGGCAGAGGCAAGAAAAGGCAAATTCCAAAGAAGTACTGTTTAGGATGATGAGGAAAATAGAAGCATGTGTGCTCAACTACCTAGTTTTAAAAACCAGGCGGCCACATGAAGGCGGCAGGATGGAGGTGTAGACATGAAGCCCAGGGGCAGCCCCAGGAGGCAGTATCCTAGGTATGGCCCTTGGACTTTGCATTAGGACCCCACCCCAGACCCGGACCTACCCAGAGCTGGGGTCATGGGCTAAACTGAAGATGCCACGAGAGCGTAAGGGTGGAGTCTTGTGGCCCTGGCCAGGAACTGCTGGTAACTGCTGAGCAACAGTCACTCTGGACATGAGAAGAGCAGGATCACCTCTGCAGAGGCTGAGCCCCCATGGAGCTGGGTTCTGCAAGGGTAGGAGGATTGGGAGGCTGGGTCCTCTCCGCCTGGGATTTAGCCCCTCACAGTCTCCAGGCAGGGACACTCCTTCTGCCTATAACCCTCCCCACTCCATCCCCTCCCCGCTTCGGGGACAGTCTTGTATACGGGGAGCAGGGGGCAGAGGGGGAAGGGGTGACCAGGCCCAGACTGGGCAATGGAGGGTCCTCAGAGAGAACCCAGGAACTCAGAAAGTTCCCCAGGAACAAGGTTCAACCCAAAACACCTGGGTTGGGATTTACCCAGGAGCAGGCCTTGGTGGCAGCTGGGCCTTTGGCACTTTCCTCCCATTCCTCTTCCCCTGCACCCCTAGACTCAACCCCTAAGTACTTTACTTGTCCCCTATGGGAAAGATCAGGCCTTGAAAGAGGCCCCAGTAGAGAAAAGGCAGGGAGGGGAGGCTGGGAGCCACTTCCACAGAAGTAGCATGGGTCTCCTCCGTTAGGGAGGCGGGAGCAGCAGCGACCGTCCCTAGATGCCCTCCTCCCTCCCTTGTACCTGAAGTACCCTCAGGGAAAAGGATCCCAGGGGGAAGCTGAGAGGCCTCAGCCTGGACATGGAGGAATGTCCTCAGTGCTCCCTGCTGTCAGATGCCCCCAGCAGAGCCTGACACCTCCAGCAGGGCCCAGCCATAGCCCCTGAGCCCCATGGGTCACAGGCTCTGAGGCAGCAGCATTTCTTGAGGGGCTGCAGGTGCGTCTGAATGAAGCACCACTGCAGAGCCTCTGTTATGAGCCTGGGGCAGCAGGAGGGAAGCCCAGGCAGCAGACACTGTGGATTCTAACTGTCAACTAATTATCTGGTGGCAAAAGCCACTCAGTTGTATTAAATCTTGGTTTGCACCCACCCCCAGGAGTAAAACTGACCCTGGTAACAGTGTTGTTAAAATCAGCATAAATTAGTAAGTATCATGAAGAGGTAGGCTGGCTTCATTTGTACAAGAGGTAATAGTGAAGTGAAAACTGAAAAGCCACAAGATTCCTGTTTAAGACAGAAAGGGGTTCCCAGCTGCACCCAGGGGCTGACACGAGAACTCGGCACCTAGAGGCTTCCCAGGTTGGGCCCTTCCTCCTCCTGGGAGAAACAGAACGAGGAACTTTCTCAGAGCGAGCATGGCAACACGCGGCTGCCAAGTTTGAAAGGTAAAACAGCAGACTGAAGATTGGCTATTCATTATTAAAGAACATTGCAGTTGGAAGGGAGAACTGTCTACGAGGTGCGTGACTAGGAACCATGGCAGCACCGCGGGGGAAGCCCACACGAGGAGGGGTGGGGATGGCACAAGCTTTCTCTGCGTGAGGACGAGACCCAAACAGACACTCTCTCCACAGACAGAAAACTCACCAACACTCCTCAAAACTGCTAAAGAAAAGAACCAAAATGAAATATTAGCAGTTTGTTAGCAAATACCAAATGCAAAAACAAAAAAATTAAAAAGCCAACTTATTTTTTGACAAAATACTTAAAATTATGTGTTGAGGTCCCAACTACAGGGATGACTACAATTATGAGCCCGACGTGCTTATTCCTCAGGGCAGCCTCACTCCCTGTGCTCGAGCCCCAGGGAGATATCCCACCTCAGGCCAAGTTACCTCTGCATTGGAAGGAAAGTTCGGATCATGAATACCGTATCCATAAGTGGCTTGATGGCATTAGTAGGAAATTAAATTGAAACTTATCTATTTGAAAAATACTAAAGAGGTATTTTGAGAAATAAATTCTAAAGTTAACATGCAGAGTTATCAGGAATCAACACCCCAAGCCGCCTGGGATGAAGACCCCCAGGAGGCCCCCTTCTCGACTGGCCACACAGAGTTACTACGCGTTCTCCTTCAAGGCCCCACCCCATCTCAAGCTGCACGCTCACACTCTCCACAGGGCAACATGCAATGGAGCGACAGACACGCTTTCTGGCTGGCTGTGCAGAGCTGCGGTGGGCACAGGAAGCTGCGTCTTCTTCCTATTTCCCAAAGGGACGCTGGAGTCAGCGAATCCTAAGGCAGGTCCAGTTACCTGGTATGTCTTAGGGAAGCACCCTTGGGAATGAATCGAGGTCAAGTAGGTTGTCTGGGGGCCTGAATTCCCCTTCCCTGTTTCTCCTCCCGTCTCCAGGACTCACTGGGCTCTGGGCTGGCCCAGGCAGCCTGTGCGTGTATCTGAACGTGACTTCTCACAGGGCACGCTCTTCCGTTCCCTGCTCAGCCTTGCCCCTGAGCAGTGATGCCCCTAGCTGCCTCCCTGACCCCCTCAGCCACGGATCTGACCTTTTACCTCCTTCCAGCTCCAGCCTAGAGTCCGTTTTCTCAGGTCATGTCCTGACTCCCAGCCGTGGCAGCACAGTCAGGTGCCACCCACCAGCTCCGTGGCCTGTGCCAGAGTGCTTCACCTGACCATCCATGGGATTCTTGTGACGCTCCCTGGGCCTCTGCTCACCTTCCCTCACACTGTTCCATGCTCGCTTGCTGAGTCCGACCCTCCCCAGCCCACATGCTGCAGAGACTGCCATGGATGCCTCCGCTTGCTCCTTCCCACCTCAAACATCTCTCTGCAGCGCCCCCTCTTCTCCTGGCCCTTCTGACGAACGCCTGCTCCTGCCTCTTTCCATCCTGTGAGAACCCTGCTCCAACACTGTTTTCTTCTCATTCACCTTACCTCATCCACTCCTGTCTTTCCCTATCAGCCCAAACACACGCTAAGTCATAATTATTCTCCCTAAACCAAACACCTCATGCTACTTCCTCTATTCTACGGTCACAGTCCAAGGACCTTACTGGTCATCGACACTCATCACCCCCACTTCCTGAGCTGCTGAAATCTTCACAGGTGACGTTCTGGAAGATCATCAATGCCTCCCGCACAGCTAACACAACAGCTTGGGTTTATTTCTGGCTCTCTCCCTCCCACCCCTGGGGGCTGGGTGGATGCCCTGCTCCATGCACCCGAAACAGCATGCTTGTTTCGGGCATTGGTCACGCCAAATGGCGCTTGCTGACTTATCTACTCCCAGGCAAGGCCCTGAGCTCCTGGAACCAAGCCTAGATCTGCTGGGCACTGTACCTCTGGTCACAGAGCAGGCTGGCAGCAAGGCCAGCCCTCTTAGCTCTCCGCCGCCGGCACTGCGCACCCGGCCACATTTCGCCACGTGCACTGCTTCTGCCACGTCTTTGCCTGACATGCCCTTCACCACCCGCCCTACCTGGAAATTTCCTGCTCAGGACAGGAGCTCTGTACGGCCCCCCAAATCTTTCAGAAACTGGGAATGTTTACCCCTGCTGCACTCTAGGAAACAGCGTGCTCCAGGCTCAGTGCCTGTGGTGCTCAACTGACTGGCCAGGGACTCTAAAGGATGCCGAGCCAGCAGTGTCCGCACAGGGTGGCTGCCTGGAGCACCACTTCTGAGGTGGGATCACAATCTGCTTCTCATTTTGCAGGACAGGACCATCGATCCAGTGCCCTCATCACCCACCCAGCTCAGTCACACGCCAACAGAGCAGCACAGGCTCCATGAGGCAGATCCTCCCGCCACGCAGAGGCAGATCAGATGGCTGGATGTTCTTGTGGTCATACTTTGATTTTATTTTAAACGGAGAAAAGAAGCATCAGAAAACTGTACAAGGACCACAAGCTCTCTCTGGCTACTTACTGTTTCTTGGTCTCTTCAAATTTGTGCAGCTTTTTGCGGAGACCTCCTGACTTAAAACCTTGGCAGTGTGCTGCTGGCGCCCCGATGGTGACGATATCGTAGTTCTGATCTGAATGACAGAAAGCTCTCCTCCATTACTCTGCGCTCAGGCCTGTGGACAAGCCAGCTATAGGGATATGCACACAAGTCTGGGGGCCTGACCCTCCCTCCCACAGCCCTGGCCGCCCAAGGGTCTCCTGGAGCCCAGTGCCATCACCTCAGCAAAAAGGGGTTCAAAACATTTCAAGTGGAGCCACACGGGCTGCAGAAAGCCACCCTGTAACTCCTGTTTGCATCCCTCCTTGGGAAGAATGGCCTACCGGCAACATTCTACTGCAGAAATACAAAGGGAAGCTAGAGCGAGGAGAGACAAAAGGACGGGGTGTGGGCTCTTAACAGAGACCTTCTGAAGGTCTTTGTGACAAATCTCTCCTCCCTGCCGCCCAGAGGACACAGGGAAATGGGCAGATGTGGGGCACTCGGGGACCAAGTACCTAGAGAGAAAAGCAGCAAAATGTGATTCAACAAGAGGGGGCAGAAAAATAGGTACCTGATCCTCCATCGTCTTGAACTCTCATCCTTTGTATGTGCAAGTTTGTGGGAACAAATTCTAACTTTTTATCTGCTTTCAAACTGCTTGCTTTAAACGAGGGCCCTAAGAAATGGAACAGGAGAAGATAAAGGCCATCAGCACGCACGCTGCGTTCACGAGCTGCAAGTAGAACACGGAATTCAGAGGATGCTGTGGCATATATGCAGGTATGTGTCAGCAGTGGCCTAGAAGGTTCTGAGTTGCCATGAGCACATTTCATTTGCAGGTGGCAGGTGGGTGAGACGCCAAGGGCAGCCCGCTGGTCGGGAGAGCTGGTTCTGGGTGCTCAGGGAATGAATGGCGCCAGGGAGAACTGGCTTCAAAAAGCTATGGTAACGATGCTGCGTCTTCCAAGACCCGGCTCTCTACTGAGAGATCTGATACAAAAAGTGTCATTCTGTGCAGCACCATGTCAGCACTACTGGAATAAGCAAAGGGGTCCATGCCAGAGACTGCCTGTTCTGACTCCAGAGACCGCCATCATCAAACAGCTAAGAATTTGGTTTGGCTAGAGCAATACATCTCAACTCTCGAAGGCGATGAAGAGGCCTTCTCAACCCTTCAGGCCCATCAAGATGAGCAAATGCAATACAGCATTGATTCCAGCCTTCTAACACATGAACTTCGATGTTTCCCTGTTCACGTCTGTTGGTTAAGGAGCCTGGACACTATTTTATAACAAATATCCACAATCTTGTTTCTATAATCAGAATCCATAACTAATTAGAGAATCACATGCCTACAAAATGAAGGGATTGCAAATTAAACTGACAACCACAAGAGTAGAAGAAAAAAACGTTTCATCTAATGAAAAATATCAACTGATACTGCCAGCATACGAATCGCAGACCAGCCACTGTGTGCCTCCAGTTTGCCACAGGAGATGGCTCTCTAAGGCCTGATACTTAGGTGCAGTCCACAGAGCGCGGCATGAGCGTCCGACAGCCTATGAGAAAGGCACAATCCCGGACCGCCACTCCAACACACTGCTCAAGGAATCCGGGTGCACACTGACATTTGAGAAGCTCTGCTCTAGAACACTCAAGGCTGGGTGGGTTTCACACTTTCCCAGGTAAGAGGCAGCAGGCATGGGTGAGTCCCTCGGTTCCTTCCTGGGCAAATGCTGCCGTTTCTCCTGGTGACATACTCAGACCCTCTCTTCAGACTCACGCTAAGCCTAAGCAACACCTCCTTGTCAGTTCTGCATTTGGCTTCTTCTCATCCAAGTTTATGGACGGGTTCATAGGTTCTGTGTCAAAACCACATTAAGGGCTTATGGTTTTCCTTAAACCCTGAAATTCTATTATGTAGAGGAATCAAAGGGAAGAATCTAAAAATACAGAATACTTCAAAATGCTAAAGTAATACATAGAGTAATGAAAAACCAAAAAATTCATTCCACTTGGAATAAAAAAGGTGCAAGAACAGATTTCTAAATCCGCCCTGAGAGTGTTTTGAAAATCAAATGGCATCTTTCAAGGAGAAACAGTGAGGTGTTCATTCACACTCCACTTTGCTTTCTGTGCCTTAAAATACAGAGTTCCCCCTTAACAATTTATATGTTTAACAGAAGTTACCCCTGACTCTTTAAATCGCGAAATCAAGAAAACCTGCTTTGTTTCCAGGCGAGTGACCTACATCCTTTCGGTCACTGTACTGACATTAGTCCAAGATGAAGAAATAACATGAACCAGTAATAGCCCGAGATTTCGCCTCCCCTAAATTTCATTCCACAGTGACTGTTTTGGTAGATGACACCATAGGAGGACTCTTCACTGCAATTCACAGATTGGTCTTTTTAATTAAGATCTGAAAAACCCATATTTGAAAGAATTCACACCTACATGAGAAGTTATTTTTAAAAATCCATTAAAGGGTCTGTCAGTGGGAATGTGTAAGTGGCCCTGTCTTCCAGATCTCTGGCTGGGAAAGCAGGGTGAGTGACAGTGAGTGAGTGTGTGTGTGTGTGCCTGTGTGTGTGGGGGGACAGCATGGGGGTGCGCCCACCTTTGTACTGATGGAGGTCGGTCAGGTTCTCCTGGTATGTGAGGATGATGGTCTGGTACTGGGTGACAATTTGACGCCGGAGGCTCTCCCAGCAAGGGGACAGCTCTCCCAGCTCCTCCAGCTCACACACTCTGAAAGCAAGACACAGATGCATCAGGCTGCGGGCTAACTGGTTTCCCCAGAGAGGCCCAGGAGGCCTACCCAGGACAACAGCATTTGCAGGGCAAGAATCACGGATGCCCAGGGCGGGCCAGGACAATCGTTACACTACCTGTCCAAAGGGCAACTAGCTACATGAAAGGCAGACCACTGACCACACGGGAATGTATCCAGAGTAGCTTTTCACGGGAACTTAGTCAAATGTTCAAGGGAAACTAAGTGCAGGTGGGGAGAAGGAGGCAGGGCTGCTGGGGAGACGCTTTACCTTGATGACCTGCAGGTACCCTCAGGCACAGGCTCAAACCACAGCCCACCTGAGTCTGGACAAAACCACGTGTGATCCTCCCGGAACAGAGAGGACTGCAGGCAGTGAGTAACCGCCCCGAGCCATCTCCTGCTTGTCTCATCATCTCCCCTAGGAGGCTATCAGGACGGCGTTTCTCATCGCCTCCCAGGTTCTCCTAAGGTGTGGGCCTTCTGCCCTCCCCCTGATAAGGGAGCTGCAGAATCTAAAACCGCTCAGCTGCAGCCTAGAGTTGGCTCCTCAGCAGCGGAGTTCCACAGATCGCGCTGCCGTCACAAGCCCTTCTGTCTCACTGCCATCCTTTCTGGGTATGGGACGAGGACCATGGGAGCTGGGACCTCTGGCTATTCTTCCTTCTGTGTCTATGTGAGAGAGGAGCCGTCTGAACCTAAAAGTGGCCCGCTGTGTCACTGTGGATGAAATCAGGCCAGATCTTGTCTTTATGTGTGTGCTCGACAGAGGCACAGGGTAACAGAAGGGGGAAGGGGGAAGAGGAGGGAGGAGAGAATAAAAAGAGGAATTGTCATCTCCAAAAAAATAAAAGCTGTATAAGAACTGAAATATAAATTCCTTAGCTCAGCAATGAAGAACAGCTACACAATCATAACAGCAAAATCACAAGATGGATTTAAAAACAAAAACGATAACCAAATTAGGAAAATGGGGACTGGGAAGGTATAAAAGGCCAAACCCTCAGCATAGAAAATCGGTAGCTAATCCCTGAAATTGATTAATGAAGAGAACACTTTACACATATATTTAGAAATACATCAGTAAACACTAAAACTCTAAAAAAGTGATTGTTTCTGGGAAGCAGATCAGAAAGTAGAGCCCCAAGAGTTGTTTTTAGTTAAAACCTTTCTGCGCTATTTGTTTTTTTTTTACTGCACTCATGTTTTCCTTTGAGAAAGAAAAAAAGCTAAATTTTATATAAGGTCTTAGGAAATCTGACTTGTCTAAATTGTTTTTAAAAGCTGTGCCATTTTATTATTATTAAAATAGCAAAATTAATATAAAAGGACACCCAGAGCAGGTAGGGCTACATGGCCAGCCGCCCCATGACCTCAGGCCGCTCTGAGCACAGCAGCTCTGTCTGCCAGGCCACTGCTAGTTTCTGTCTCTGGAATGTGTCTGCCATGTTCATGTGACTGTTTCCTAGGCTTTAGGTGTTAGTTTAACGTCATCATCCCACAGAGGCCTGCCCTGAGCACCCTCTTTCTTCTCACAGTTCCCTTTTCATTCCCAGCACACGCGGACACATCTGGAGTTCCTGTGTGAGGTTCCCAGTTCTGCTTCCAACCAACCCCCACACTGAGCTCACCAAGAAGCCTCCCACACCGAGAACAGTGCCTGACATGTGGTTGTCGCTGAAAACGACAACAAAACCCTTGAACTAAAGCACTTGTTAAATGAATGAACTCTTGGCCAGGAATGGTGGGTCATGCCTGGAATCCCAGCTTTTCAGGAGGCCAAGGTGGGAGGAGTGCTTGAGGCCAGGAGTTGGGGACCAGCCTAGGCAACATAGCAAGACCCTGTCTCTACAACAAATGAAAAAAATTAGCTGGGCATAGTGGTGTGTGCTTGTAGTTCTATCTGTCCAGGAAGCTGAGGTAAGAGGATGGCTTGAGCCCAGGAGTTTCAGGCTGCAGTGAGCTCTGATGGCGCCACTGCACTCCAGCCTGGGTAACAGAGCAATACCCTGTCTCAAATAAAAAATGAATAAACTCTTTAAAGTTATAATACACCATGTAATGGGAAATTTAAACATAAAAACCGAAAATACATGGAAAAATAGACTGTCACTATGTAAATACACAAAAATATGGACAAAGCTTAATGAAAATTTGTAAAATTAAAATTACTAAAATATGTGCATACATGGAGAAAGCAATTGGCAAAATATTAACAATTGGTGATTCTAGGTGAAAGGTATCTAGGTGCTCATTGCATTATTCTTGCCCTTCATCTTTAAGTTGTGACGTTTTTTCCAGATAAAAAATGTAAACAAAATAGCTCTTTGAAAACAGCAGGATTCTGGCTACCTTGCTTTCTTTCATGCTTCTGTTATATTGTGTTTATAATTAACATCATTTGAGGACAAGGAGGAGAAATGACAGTCTGAGACTATCCCCCAAAGCTCCTATGTTGGAAACTTTATCCTGAATGCCACAGTTTTGAGAAGTAGGACCTTTAAGAGATGATGTGGCCTGAGGGCTCTGCCCGCATGAATGGATTGATGTCATTATGGTGGGAATGGGTTGGTTATTGCAACAGTGGGTTTGTCATAAAAGCAAGTTTGGCCTTCTCTCAAGAGCGCTCTTGCTGTGTGATGCCTTCTACCACAGGATGATGCAGCATGAAGGCCCTCACCAGATGCCAGCACCATGCTTCTGGACTTCCCAGTTTCCAGAACCATGAGTCAAACACTTTTCTGATCATTATAAATTACTCAGTCTCTGGCATTCTGCTACAGCAGCACAACACTGAAACAGAGAGAGACAGGGGACATAATCTGCACGGCCTGGGCCACCTGTTGGGCTTCTCCTCACCTTAGGACTGACAAAATATGCCCTGGGTTGAGAGATGCAGAAGGGTTAAGACCCTTATGGGACCACAGTGAGCTGACAGGTCATACTCAGTCTTCTGGAGCCCTTATCTATGACCCTAACCTAGAAAACTACTGCTGGGCAGCTAGGATCAAACAATTACCAGTTATTTCTAACTTTCTGAAGGACTAGTGAGAGGGGAAAGAAAAGAAGAGAAGGCAGGCCGGGCATGGTGGCTCACACCTGTAATCCCAGCACTTTGGGAGGCAGAGGTGGGTGGATCACCTGAGGTCAGTAGTTCGAGACCAGCCTAATCAACATGGTGAAACGCCATCTCTACTAAAAATACAAAAATTAGCCAGTCCTGGTGGCGCACACCTGTAATCCCAGCTACTTCAGAGGCTGAGGCAGCAGAATTACTTGAACCTGGGAGACGGGGGCTGCGTTGAGCTGAGATTGCACCACTGCACTCCAGCCTGAGCAACAGAGCAAGACTCTGTTTCAAAAAAAAGAGGAGAGGAGAAGGGAGGAGGTTCTGAGTGCAGGACACACATCTAGGTTCAAGCACACTGTCTTACAAAATCCCTGCACAGGAATCCATGATCCCAATGAGCACACTGAGGCTTAGGCAAGCCAAGGCCACAGAGCTGCAGGGGAGAGGCTGTGTCTGCAGTCCGGTCTATCTGATGCCCGTGCTCTGCCCACTATATCTCAGAAAGGAAGGGGCACATGATATGGGTATGATGGACAGTCAGTCCTTCCATGTGGCCTCACCTGGCTGCATCTTCCTCTAGTAGGAGCTTCACGAACTGCCGGGGCACGTGCAGGGAGAGCACGCTCTCTGCCATCTGCTCCAGGATCCGCAGGTGGTTACCATCGGTGGTTGGAAACCGGTACATGCGGCAGATGGCGCCGCCGAACACTGAGGTGGGATGACGGGAGACAGGCTGCATGTGAACTGGCTGCAGACCTGCCTCGTGGGTTCTTCGCTCCTGGCCCTCGGGGATGGTGACAACTCAAGTCCTCTCACTGTTCATCTCACGGGAATTAAAACGCTTACAACGAAAACCCACCAAGTGACTAAGTCTGAACGCTTCTTCCCAGCAACATGCAATCTTCCTGTCCCAGAACATGTAACTAACTCTAAAGCGCGAGCAGCTGGGGGCAGGGAGGCTGTCGCCAGTCACCAACCCCAATGTGAAACAGGAAAGAGTGAGATGAAGTATGACTTCCTTGGAGTATTACTGACTCTTTTTTATTTTTTAATCCTCTTTAAAGGAAAATTATTATTGTTTTTTGTAGTAACTCTTTATATGCTGCAAAAAGAACACGAGGATAAGCAGCAGAGAGGTGACAATCAGGGTGCATGGCTGGGACAATCGCAGCAGGTGGGGAGCAAAGGGGACTGCGGGCCCAAGTGGATACTCACAAGAGAGGCAAGAATACCAAAGGAGGAAGCTGTTTACCCGATTTCAGCAAAGTGTCCTTTCGCAACGAAGCATATTTGGATCGGATTCCTAATGCCTCCGTCAAGCTCTCATCGACGGGAAGAACCATCTGATAATGTGTAAGGAAATGCACAAGAAAACTGTGAGATTCAGATGACTCCAGAACACTCAGCAGAAACAGTGGCCTAAATACATCACAACAGAACTCTTAAGATGAACATCCACCATGAACTCTACAATAAAGAAGCTGCCCAAGCCACAAAGTAATTCACCTCCCAGTGTGCTGAACCACTTCATGCACACACAAGTCTCCAGGCATGCGTGGTTTCTCAGCCACTTCACCTTGTGTTTCAGCGTTCTGATGTATAAAACGAAAGGAAGAGAATAGATGATGCCAAGGGATATTTCCGGAACTAACATTCTGGGCTTATTTTGGGTGAAATGAGACATCTCTGTATTGTACAACAATGACTACTTACCAGCGTTGGGGCTCTGAAATTAGAATTTTTCTTTGAGTGTCTGTGTGAGAGACTGTGCATGAGAGTGGGTGCAGGAGGGTGTAGCTGGAGAGGGGGAGGAGGATCGGGGAAGAGGGGAGCATATGAAAAGGTGAAGGTATGCACCAGGAGACTGCAGGGCATGCATGTGTCTGGGAGAGGAAGATATTAACAAAACAGGACAGATGACCTGGGTCCTAAATGCCTCTTCACTTGCCCTCCACACCCCCTAAGTTGCCCCCTGACTGCAGTTCTTCCAGCAGGGCTCTTTCCTGCTTACTCCTGCCCTCTAGATGTGGCCAGTATAGCACCTAGAACACAGGCAGGCTCCAGGGCAGCAGGGCTTTACGGACGGGAGCCCTGTTTCCTGCTTCAAGGTGTGCCTAAGGAGGACCGGAGTGTCCATGGGGAGCAGCATCAAGCAGCAGGCCCTGCCCGTTGCTGAGCACAAAGGCTAAGTCCACGAGAGCCGCATTTTTACCAATTAATTCCCTTGCTCTTTCTAAAGGAGAGGAGGAAAGTGGCGTAACTCACCCTCCCATTGACAGTGTCCACAGACCGGGTCACAGGGGGCCGTTGGTCTGACTTCTCCTCCATCTGCCAGCCAATCACGGTGATGTTACCCACACGGTCACTCTCTGCAGACCTGTGATGTACAACATGCTTTAATGAGTGGTGCTGCAACTGTGCTTCTTTTCTGCTGAAATGCAAAGTCCTGGCCATACTGGGTCATCAGGGTCCTGGGGGCAGCAGGGCCGAGCTGACTGACCAGTCGGTCAGCATTCGCTGTGTACACAGGGCTCCTCCCCAGCGAGACAGACGAGGAAATCATGGGGCACAGCGGAGGGCTGTGTCTGAACGGACAACGCACCACAGGGAAGTGTGGACGTGCGGGTGAAGTCAGAGGGGGCCTCCTTGAGGAGGAGCCAATGCTGTTCTCGAGCTGCTGCCAGTGCCTGGGTTCACCCCTGCCCAGAGGGTGAGGGGGACACGTGGTAGAGTGAGGACAGAGAACACCTTGTTTTGGCCCTGGGCCCTTTTCTGTTCCTTCCCACCCCACCCTCAGGTTTATATTAGCCCAAGGCCTAAGCCTGAACTCCAAGTAATGGAATCCAGCCAGGGCTCCTTGAAGCCCTTGAATCCCGAGATGACAGAGCTGATGCTACCCCAGCCTCAGTCAGCTTCGCCCTGACACCTTTTCCTTACACGATCCCTCTAGTTTTACCTAGGTGGCTGACGGTGGCCTGGGCTCATCTGATCCATCCAGGGAGCCTGGGGACACCCTGGAACTTCAGGCTTTCTATTTACAAGGTCTCACTTAACCAGGTTCTAAATTTTTGTCTGGTCCCATCTACTGACCATTTCCTTTGTGATTTCCTCGCCCTGTCCTCATGCCTGTGAAGTCCTTTCCTGCTCTATCTGTTCAATGATCAGTCGCCTTTAGCTCCTTTAAAAAGAATGGTGTCCATTTTGTACATTTAACTCTAACCCAACTAGAGTTAACTCTGACGCATGATGTAACTAAATAGTTTTCTCAAAGTCCTTTTCCTTACATGATCCCTCTCATTTTACCTAAGATTTTTCCTTTTTCCTTTTTCCTGAATGAAGTTCTCTAAACAAACTATGTTTAGACGATGCTGCAGGGTTCTCATCCTGTCCACTGATTAGATAGTCAACGCCTGCAATACTGTCTTTGCTTTACTTACAGTAACTTCAGAACGTCTCAACACTGCAGGGACTTAATCTTTTGTCAAATTTTCCTAGCTATTTTGGATTATTTTCCCAGATCATAGTTCTCACAATTTTTACATTATTCTGAAAAAAGAACACCATGTCAGAGTTTTTGGTGGGAAGTGCCCCTAAAATGATTTGGAAGGACTGACATCCTGATATCTTTCATCTTTTCATCCTGGGACACGGTGGGGGTTTCTCTTTCATTCACTCATTCCTTCCACAAACATTTATTGGGCACCAGGCACTATTCTAAGTGTCTGGGAAATTGTAGTGAAGCAAAGCAGACAAAACTCCCTGCTGTCTGGGAGATTATATTTTACTGGGGAGGGGCTAAATAACAGAGAAACACACTCAGTATTATTAGATATGTATCCAGGCCTTCTTTTAGGGTTCGGAACAGCTGTGCTCGTATCTCCTATGGATGCTAAAAGTTTCCATTCCCTGATAGGCTAAGTAATTTGTTTTGCCTCAGGAGACAACACAGTGTCGCCACACAGACTGCTTCTGGGAAGGGAAGGGTGCGCTCTCAGTATAGGAAGTGGGTCCTTTCCCCACCTGTCCCTGGACCTCATCATTCCAGATCCTTCCAAGGGAATAAAACTGAACACCAACCTTAGTGTTAAATGCAACCTATGATGCCTGTCCTGCAGCAGATCTTTGACAATGAACGTTCCAGAGCCCAGTAAATACATCTGAGGAAGAGAAGGAAGAGAGGCAGCATTGGTGTACTTGCTTTGCTTCTGATGCAATTACCACGGCCCCAGAGAGTCCAGCTGACTGCCTCCCACAGCACCTCTTACTCTGATGTCAGAAGCCCGATGGGAAAGCTTAAAAATTTGCAAAGACAAATGCATTTAGACATGAGCTAACTTGTGAGCCAGTAGTGAAGTGAATCTGTGTTCACCTCTCATTCAAATGATTACATAATTTTTTCAAAGGGAAGAAAATCCCACGAACTACAACACATTACTTAACTGTTCCCTGAGATCTATCTTTGACATCATACACGGAGAGTTTGACTTGTGTCATCTGATTGATAAGAGAGTCTTGAAAGAAGGCAATACTGCTTAGAAATATAGGATTGTTGGTTCCCTAGAACAGAAAAGGAAATAATCAGAACACAGGGTTGGGTTTTTAAAATGTAATTGCTTTTGAAATACATCAACATTTTCAGAATGAGAAACTAACATTCTCACTGTCTTGAATCAACACGAATGCTAAAGGCAGCTCAAATAAATACATAAAACAAACAAACAAACAAAATCCTCTGCTTTTTAAAAGAGGAAAAGGAAGTCTGACAGACCATGACAGATCCACATACAATAAATCAGCCCATGAAACAAGCTGGGCCTGAGGACTCATTTCATGGGTTTCACACTCAGAGGGAGGAATTTCTAAAAACTGAAACAAGTTGGATGTCCACACGCACTCTTAGTTTTATGACTTAAAGTGTAATGTGTATTTAGACCTACGACTTTGGGTTATTCCTTTAAGAGGTACAAACAAGCAGATGAAAGAGAGAAAATGAATGGCTTAAGTGGTTTATTATGTATTTCTAGAAGCCTGTGTTTGGAATAATTAAAGCCTGGCTTTTTAAAAGCTATCCTTTTTTTAGGATCAACTAGTTTTTAGATCATAGGTGACTATTTCCCGGCAGCTTAGCCGTGTCCTCCAAAGCCCCGTAATACCATACTCACTCAGGTACCAGGTAATTATCACAGCCACCGTTCCCTGGGCCTCTGCCTCCGTTTTCTCTCTGCAGATCCAGATCCAGGCGGTCAAGCTGACCGGACAACTCCACCTGGGTGGGCTGCTAGGGCCTCGACCAACTCATCTCTCCCTCTACCCGCCCTTGGCTAAGGCCGCCCTTGGCTAAGGCCACCTCTGACTCCCTTTCCAAGCAGGCTAAAAGCCCGGGCATGCACTTTGGTGCCTTCTTCTCTGTTGTTCTCAACCACCCAGTGATCATTCATTCACTCATTCCTTCCACAAACATTTATTGGGCACCAGGCACTATTCTAAGTGTCTGGGAAACAGTAGTGAAGCAAAGCAGACAAAACTCCCTGCTGTCTGGGAGATGATATTCTCTTGCAGCTCCCCTTGCAAGGTTCACCTTCAAAGTCTCTGTCACACACTCCTTTCTTTCCACTCCCTCCCACTCTCACTCCTCCAAATGACTGTCCTATACAAGTTAGGACATCTGGTCAGGTGACTCCCCTGCCCAGAAGCCTACACTGGGGCTCACTACCGTGTGCTCATTAACACCACGGCCTTCAAGGCTTTCGTTCCTTGCTCTCCTACGTGTGCCTTTCACACACCGACCAGGATACAGTTAGACCCCAAACCCGCATGATCCTTCCCTGTGGTCACACATCTGCATAACCACAACAGAACTTTGGCGGGCTCTTCACATGGAGTCCCCCGACTGGCTACCTGGGCATCACCTGGGAGCTTGCGAGAAATGCACTTGGGAGAAATGCACTTGGGAGCTTGCAAGAAATGCTTGCGAGAAATGCAGACGTACTGAAGCAGAATTTCATGAAGCCCCACCCTAGGAAGCCTGTTCTGAGAGTCAGATAGGATCCCAGCCTCCTGGTGCTCTCCTCACCTTCCTACTCCAATACTTCCCATACTCGCTGTGCACAGGGGCAGCCATATTCATTTCTGCCTCCCCATCCACCAGCTGGTCAGTTCCTCGGGGCAGGGACTGTGCCCTGGTGGGCTCTGTATCATCCACAGTGCCTGGCACTATGCTTAGATGTGTAGGTAGCACTCGACAAATGCTTAGAAAGCAGAATTGTAGACGTGAACTTGGAAATAAGTTCCTAAGAGACTGAAAGGGTGGGCTAGCTTCCAGAATGCACAACTGGTGAAGAAGAAGAAATGCAGTTACAGTTTGATAATTCTTCACTTTACAACTGCAGAATCTCATGCCACCAACTCCTACACTTAGTGTTACGTAACGTGCTCAATGATCTAAAAGGATTTTGCAAAATTCCCTCCATAAATGTTTATCATGTAACTTAGTGGAAAACGTAAACATGTGACACAAAACTCAAAATGCTGTAAAAACAAAAATCAACAAAAATAGGGGTATGTCTGGACAAGAGAGTGGTTAATAGTTAATACTCTTCTAAGCTTTGATTAACGAGCACAACTCTTCCAAAGCAACAGCCAACTGGAGGTGACAAGAAGGAATTAGGTCTTACCTCTTACAAGGCAATAAAGCTTACAGGATCATTGTTCAAAAACAAGCTGCCAATAGTTAATCAATAACTGTAAAGGATATGGCAACATAAATGCTACCCAGATGAGTAAATGTGATGAACAATATCAATGTACTGAAAACCCACGGGAAAATAGCAACAACTCACGTAAATACGGCTTCAGCTACAGATGCACGAGTAACTGAACATCAGGACAAGAGACACTACTAGAGAATGTCCCACAGCACCTCAGGGAGAGACCACCAGCACCCACCTCAATGATCTCCGTCTGTGCATGCTTCGTCCAGAATGCCTGAGGAGGGGTGGTGACACTCACCGCAACAAAACTATTTGGCTTTCGATCTAGCGATGGAGTATGCAGCTCACTGCAAGCTACAGAATCAAGATGGGAAAGAAATGAATCCTTTAAAACCAGACTCTCATCAGTTCTCTGTTCCAAATACACTCAAAGAAAGCACAAAGAGTAAACGACATTCAAAGAGGTGAGACGATCACATCGTCAGTTGTCACAGGGAGGTGATTTTTAAAATTTGAAACAATCTCTTTATACGCCCCCTCCCCAGCACCCTCCAAGACAGCAATGCCATAACTTCAGTGAAAGGCTGCGCTGACGGGGGCTTCCCATGTCCCTGGAGTGGAACACAAAGCCAGGAACCTCATATAGGTCCAACCCTTCAAGTCTGACCTCGGTAACTATTCCAACTCTAAGCAATCAAGCAAAGGAGCCACGGAGTCTATGAAATCTAAGACAGAGCTACCCGTGCTTGCATCCTGTGACTGCTGGGGCTGACTCTGAGCGTATGGTGCCCCACGTGTCCTGGCAGGTGGATGGATGGATGCTGGAAGAAAATCAGAATTCTATGGCAAAGTAAACAAAGCTCTTCTTTTTTTTTTTTTTAAGTGAGCCACTGTTCATTTACAATCAATGATAAACCACATATATGACAGTGGTCTCACAGATTATAACGGAGCTGAAAAATTTCTATTGCCTAGTGATGTCGCAGCCATCCTAACATCCCAGTACAAACACATTTCCTTTTCTATGTTTAGATACACAACTGCCAATAATATTTAGTACAGTAACATGCTGTCCAGGTTGGCAGCCTAGGAGTAACAGGCTATACCATGGACATAGTAACAGGCTAGGAGTAACAGGCTATACCATGGACATAGTAACAGGCTAGGAGTAACAGGCTATACCATGGATATAGTAACAGGTTAGGAGTAACAGGCTAAACCACGAACACAGTAACAGGCGAGGAGTAACAGGCTATACCATGGATATAGCAACAGGCTAGGAGTAACAGGCTATACCATGGATATAGTAACAGGCCAGGAGTAACAGGCTATACCATGGACATAGTAATAGGCCAGGAGTAACAGGCTATGCCATGGACATAGTAACAGGCCAGGAGTAACAGGCTATACCATGGACACAGTAACAGGCCAGGAGTAACAGGTTATACCATGGACACAGTAACAGGCCAGGAGTAACAGGCTATACCATGGATATAGTAACAGGCCAGGAGTAACAGGCTATGCCATGGACACAGTAACAGGTCAGGAGTAACAGGCTATACCATGGACATAGTAACAGGCCAGGAGTAACAGGCTATACCATGGACATAGTAACAGGCTGGGAGTAACAGGCTATACCATGGACATAGTAACAGGCTGGGAGTAACAGGCTAGGAGTAACAGGCTATACCATGGACATAGTAACAGGCCAGGAGTAACAGGCTATACCATGGACATAGTAACAGGCCAGGAGTAACAGGCTATGCCATGGACATAGTAACAGGCCAGGAGTAACAGGCTATACCATGGACATGCTAACAGGCTAGGAGTAACAGGCTATACCATGGACATACTAACAGGCCAGGAGTAACAGGCTATGCCATGGACATAGTAACAGGCCAGGAGTAACAGGCTATGCCATGGACATAGTAACAGGCCAGGAGTAACAGGCTATGCCATGGACATAGTAAGAGGCCAGGAGTAACAGGCTATGCCATGGACATAGTAACAGGCCAGGAGTAACAGGCTATACCATGGACATAGTAACAGGTTAGGAGTAACAGGCTATACCATGGACATAATGACAGGCTAGGAGTAACAGGCTATACCATGGACATAATAACAGGTTAGGAGTAACAGGCTACACCATGAACATAGTCTAACAGGCTAGGAGTGACAGGCTATACCTAGGAGCCTAGGAAGCTGCACCATCTGGGATCCTGTTGGTACACTCTGTCATGTTCACAAAAGGACAACATCGCCTAATGACACATTTGACAGAATGTATCCTCACCATTAAGTGATACATGACTATACTTAATGCCACCGAACTGTATACTTAAAAATGGTTAAAATAATACATTTTGTGTACATTTTATTGCAATTTTAAAATAAAATAGAAAAAACATATGAACTCCTATTTAAAAATATATTATTGTGTCCACAACAGGTGAGACAAATGCACAGAAAATTCAGGGAGAGGAGGAGTGACGGGATGAAGGAAGACACTAATAAAAATGAAAGAAAGAACAGGGAGAAAAAAGGAGAGATTAAAAGACAGAAAAATACAAAGAGGGAAGGAAGAGCTATGACTCTGGAAGGGTGGGGGAGAGCAATAGCTTGACATGCTCTGAGGAGAGTTTAGTTGGGAGGATGTCTTTGTTCATTTGGAGTAAGTTACTGGCTATCTCCGTCCTTTGAAAGGACCTGTGGTGACCTAACTAACCACCGTTCACAGCTCAATCTACTCTTCCGGGTTCTAATTATACTTTTTCTGACATTAAGATTGCCATACCAGCTCTCTCTTTTGTTAGCACACACATTTGTGTGTGTGTGCATGTTTTTCTATAGTTGCTATTCGTGCAGCTATAACCCAGATGTTGACCCCTAATCTCATGTCTTGGAATTTTCAGTGCTTTCTCTATTGGTGAACGCCCATCTGGAATCATCGGCCTTCTACTGAGGAACATCTCTTAGCATTGTTTATTCTGTAAGTGTGGTGTTGGCATGCTTTCAGCTTTCAAGGTTTAAAAAATGTCTTTATTCCACCTTACTTCTTGAAGGAAATGTTCTCTAAGCAGTTATTTTCTCTAAGCCCTTTAAATATATTGTCTCTAGGCCTCTGTGTTTTCTGTTATGAAGTCAGCTGTCAGTCTAGTTGTTGCTACTTTAAGATTGTGTTTTGTGGCAGTTTTTATAATTTTCCCACTGACTGTAGCTTTCAGCAGTTTCATTATGATGTGCCGAGGTACATTTGTTTGTATTCATTTGGTGAAACTGTTGTATTCGTTTGGGAGGAATGCTCACCTATAAGTATTGCTTCGGACCCTTTTCTGTGTTCCTTCTTAAAGATACAGAATAAATGTAATGTGAGACCTCTCACTATGCTGTTTTTACTCTCCTCTGAGCTTTTTTCCCATTATTTTTATGGCTCTGGCTTCATTTTGTAAATTTTCTTCTTGAAATTTTTCTTTGAATTCTAAAATATGTATGTGGTTCTTTTCATGGTTTCTGGTTCTCTGAAAATGTTCAATGTCGTCTTTTTTCTTCTTTACCATAGTGTTATGACTGAAAGTTTGTGTCCCCCTAAAGTTTCTTTAAGTAGGTCTGTCCTCTGACACAAACATCAAAACTTATGTGTTGAAATCTTATATCCCAATGTGATGGTATTAGGGGTGGGGCCTTTCAGAGGTGATTAGGTCACGAGGGTAGACTCTTTATGAATGGGATTAATGCCTTTAAAAGAAGAGACACAACAGCTTGATCCCTCTGCTCTGCTCTTTGCCATGTGAGAACACAGCAAGACTACGTCCATCTGCAAACCAGGAAGCTGGCCCTCATCAGACAACGGATATCCTAGCATCTTAATCTTGCACTTCCCAGGTTCCAGAACTGTGAGCAATAAATTTCTATTTTTCAAGCCACCCAGTCTACAATATTCTGTTATAGCAGTCCCTATTAACTAAGACATATAGTCAATAACGGTTATTTTAGTGTTTGTCTTTTAACTCTAATATATAAGGCCCCTTTGGGTCTATTTCTATGCTTACTGTTTCTGTTCATATTTCTTATTTCCTCATGTTTCCGAGAAATCATGATTTTATGCTGAATACTACAAGAATTGCTTGTAGAAGTGATTTGAGGCCTAGGATGGTGCTGTCTTTCTCCAGACAAGATTTGTAACTACTTCTGCAAGGTTCTAGGGAGGACTAGCACTCTGAAATGTTTTCATTTACTTGCAGTAACTTAATGAACCTGTAGTCCCTATGAACACCTGCTTCTGGTTCCCCTTACTCTACAGGTTTAGATTTAGCCTTCTGGATTCTAGATCAAAGTGAGAGGGGTTTCGTCAAGTATCCTTCCCCTAACAGACCCTAGAAAGCAATCCCTGTCACTTCTGCACTGAGACACTGTCTAAAGCACTGCGCAGCCTCTGGACCTCTTGGCCTTCCTCTTGGGAACCACTGTAAGCCCTCAAAGGAATAAGTGGGCCTCTGCTCTCAGATTCTTTACAGTCCTATCAGTTCTCTGGTCGCATGGACCAGATAGTTCAGATTTTTTTTTCATTTTTTCTAGTTGTCCTTAATGGTAGATTTGATTTTTGTTTGTTATTTATCTAGAAAAAGATTTTCTTTCTCCTTAGAATGTGTTAGTCTCACAAGGAGATGCCTGGCAGTTGGAATATTCTTGAGTCTTAAGTCCATTCTTCCCTCTGGAAAGAATTCTTCTGTTGCTTCTGGCTCGCTGCTACTCCTCTTTCCGGCTCTCTGCTTCTAGGTCTCCTATTGATCAAATACCAGAACTCCCAAATCTGTCATATCTCTTCACCAACAATCTCTTTCTTGATATTTTTTCCTTGAACTGTGAGATGGTTCCTTCATTTACCTTCACAGATTTTTAACAGTTTTCAGCAGTGTTGCTTTGATTTTTACTACGTTTCTTTTAAGATATGATTTACATATCATAAAGTTCACCCTCTTAAAGTACACAATTCTCTGTTTTGTTTTGTTTTGTTTTGAGATGGAGTCTCACTCTGTTGCCCAGGCTGGAGTGCGGTGGCGTGATCTCGGCTCACTGCAAGCTCCGCCTCCCGGGTTCACGCCATTCTCCTGCCTCAGCCTCCCGAGTAGCAGGGACTACAGGTGCCTGCCACCTCGCCCGGCTAATTTTTTATAATTTTAGTAGAGATGGGGTTTCACCATATTAGCCAGGATGCTCTCCATCTCCTGACCTTGTGATCCGCCTGCCTTGGCCTCCCAAAGTGCTGGGATTACAGGCATGAGCTACACACCCGGCCCAATTCTGTGGTTTTTAAAGGCATTCAGAGTTGTGCAACCATCACCACAAATTCCTTA